TTCTGCACTCAGCATTATAGCTGTGTTGATTGTTATGTTCATCTTCAAGTCTTGATCTTTGTTCTGGGAACAGCTTGGCCTCAAGAGGTTATCATCAAACCTGCTGATTTAATTCAGTGGAAACTGTCTTCCTACAGATGGACGTCAATTGTCTGTTCCCTCCCTTTTTTATAGTTTATTTTAAAGATCTGTCCCAACAAAGCCTTATTAACCATGAACTCAGTTAACCAGACACATCCTGGTTAAGTCAAGTCCTTGGTATCTTTTGAGGCATTTTAATCTGGTGCAAGTCCTTTGGAGCAATAAAGCTGAGGCTGTGCAAGTATTTCTAGTGGACCGAGACAGGGCAGCAGACAGACTAAAACAAACAATAATCCTTATGCCTGATGTACTGCATTTCATGTCAGGAGAACGTCTCAAAGTGCTTCACATTTATTGTAAAATGCTGTGAATGCATAAGCAAATGTGACAGCCAACTTACACACAGCAGAGTTCCCCACAAAACCAGGATTGCTGGCCAGGATACCGGGAAAAATTCCCATCTCTCCAAACAGTGCCTTGGCATCTTTACCGTCCACCAGAAAAGGTAGGCAGGAGATTAGTTTAACATCTCATACGAAGGACAACAACAGCATCAGCAACTTACATTTATATATTTATATATTTACATTTATATAGCAACCTTCATTCATTCATTCAGGTCAGAGTCTCGGAGGGTTTAACAGTGATGCTGAGCCGGGGGTAGAGAGGAGGTGACCGTAAGCACTTCTGACAATGCAGCCTACAGCATTGCATTGGGGCATCAATCTAGACTGTATGAGTTCAGTCCCGATGTGGGTCTTGAACCCACAACCTTCCTACCTCAGAGGTGAGAGTGCTGCTGAACGTAAAGGCTGACACCTAGTAGAGGGGACTGTTTCTCCTCTGAGATTGCCACTCTTTTCTAAATGTGTCACAGTGACTCTGTGTATATATTCCCTTATCCAGAGACATGTGTTGAATGACACTCAGGCTTTACCTGAGATAGCTTCAAGTCTTTGACCACAGGACTCACATTGCTTAAACCTGATTTGTCTGTCAACATGCAGGATTCACATGCTGAATTGTGACCCCCATTCCCCAATTCTTGCTGGTAGTAATAAGTTTTATTCTCCTCCCGCCACCAACCCCATCGCACCCCCTCCCCCATCCACACACACGCACACATAGTAAGAGCTTTAGGATTGACAAATGTGAAGTTGATGCATGTAATACTCTGCAATTTCCATTACATCTTCTAGCCAATATTAATGTTCTATCATGAACTGGAAAGCTTAGGAGTCATTTTGTAGTTCTTGGCTCCACTCAGATAAAAAGGCTGTTGAGATGAATTCCCTTTTGAATGCTGGCACTTCACCAATTTGTGGAATTTTCTCTCTTGCAACTCAACACAAGAGGTTATTAATTTCTCCCCTGTCTAAACTTTATGTTGAGAAATGTACTTTGCAAAAGGGAAGTAAAATAAGGTCATTTAAGAATTTTATAAAGCTTGAATCTGACATCTCCCTCAATGCCATCACAAAGTGCTCCTGTGAAGATCATGCCCCAAATGAATTCCCGTTCTGTTTGATTGTTGCGATTTGACATTTAACATGTCTCACAATGTCACAGCCACTGCACTTCGGTCCTGCATTCAATGTGCAGAATAGAACTGTTATTTTCAAGGCAGCAACCATGCTCTGGTATCTCACTGACCCGTTCCCTTTGGGATGGCTTTCTTCACAATTTCTTCCATCCGATCCCATAATTGGTGTCTTGACATTCACAAAAAAAGCGTGTTATTTCTCTCTCAGATAAAAAATAAAGCATCCAAGTACAATCCAGACGAGTTTAAAGTAACATAATTAATTACAAGCTGAAATATTATTTGTCAGTGATCAATTGTATATTAATCCTTTTAAAGTTGCAGTAATTACAGCCTAGTTCTAACCCCGCATCTTAGATGGAATTGTGCAATGTCACCAAAAACAATACGGACTGAACGCAGAATAAAATAAAGTGGGCTTGGGAAAATCGCCTCATAGATCTGTTAAAATAATCTTTACATTTGGTATAGCGCCTTTCACGTCAGGAGAACGTCCCAAAGCACTTCACAGGATTTACAGTAAAGTGTGTTTTTGTGGATGATGATTCTAATCTGACAATTTGAATTGCAATAATTAATCATTGCCTTTCATGATTGTATAATTCAGTGTTTCAAAGTGAATCCGAAATATACCTGGGAGATAACAAAATGTTAAATGTCGTGGGCAAAGAGGAGGGGGAAATGGGACTTTTTTTTGTAAAATCCCTTTTTAGCATGCCAGTTTTTCAGTAAGACTCAGAAATGCTGATGTTCTGCTGAATGGCAGCATAAGATTCAGATCCGTGAGCTGGAAAACAAATGCAACCAACCCGGCTTTGCGGGCACTACCACAGAGAAGGATGTCAAAAGGGGGTGTATATATATATTATGTGTCCTTTTGATGTGCTAGATCTTCACTGCTAAATTGACCCTGTTATTTTTATTTCCACCGACCTGAGCATTCATAGAGCCTTGACTGTGTGATTATTGCATTGGGGAACTTTTTAACAGGTGTCAGCTGCAATGTCGTTTAAGAAAAAAAGTCTGATCACTATTCCCACTCAATTCATTAAAATTTTATGTCAAAAAGTGCCTATCCTCTTTATCGGGAAGGTAAGTGGAGTCTCCTTTGAGCTGTGCTAGCTTTCCCTGGCAATGTGAGGTTCAAGCTGATTAAATTCCTGCAGGACCCCAATACATACTGGAGTGCTCAAGCTTTGCTAACCTGGAATTTAATTCTCTATGGAATTAGATAAACAGAGTGCATCCCTTCAGGGAGAGATTATACATTTCATTACAAATTGTCATATGTAAGTAGCACACATGTGTGGTTACATAGGTACTCACAATCTAATTCAGATCTCTTAAGCACAGTGATGGGTTTCTGCATGTGTCGGACACCCGGTTGACCAAAAAAAAATAATGTCTACTCCCTCAATGCTCCATCTGATGAGAACAAGTTTAGCTTTGTGAGTGTTTCATAACATGGAGCTCTAAGCCCCTTTGTAAATCCTGCTGTTCCAATGTCATCCATAGTTTCTATTCTTTCATATGGGTTCCGGTAACTCACATGTGAAATGAATCTGCTATTTGTGACATAGTGCAGTGATCAGTGAATTCAGGTACAGAGCAATTTTTCTTTGTATGTGGAGAACGAACCACTCATGTCAGAGCCAGTATAATTCTCAATATAAAATTCTGGCCCTGGTTTCGATCAGCAAATTGATCACAGCCAGGGTTACTAGAGTGATCGTGAGCAAGATGTCTGCTTGAATGTTCTCTCCTTGTTAACTCAGGGGTACGACAATTAACATTGACTTCAGTTTGCAGTGATTTCATAATTCGCACATTAGCATATCACGTTGTGCATTTTCACCTCCATGTTTTGAACTTCTGCTTCAGGAGAGGGATGACCGTTCACCTGATGAATATGTACTATCCTGTAACTGTGGCATAAGGCAAAATATGCAGATACTGAAAATCTGAAATAAGAATGCATTTTCAGGTCAGAATAATAGGTCATCGATCTGAAACATTAACTCACTTTGTTTTCTCCATACATGTTGCCTGACCTGCTGAGTTTTCCCAGTGACTTCTGTTTTTATTCCTGTAACTGCCATAATATTCAATAAGCAACAAAAAAAGCTCAAAAATGTGTTATGTAACCAGGCAGAAATGAAAACTGGCCCTTCTGTCAAATTCTGATTTTGGTTACTGGAATGAAACTGAGATGCTTCAAAGATCTAAGCACTATTGAAGACCTCTCGAGTCACTTCCCTCTCTACGTGAAGATAAAGTCTATTGTTCAATATTTAGAAATGCGGAAATAGAGTATGGCACCTAAAGAAAAAACAGAATCAATTGGGGACCACATCCCGTGATATTATTCATGATGAGCCGTTTTTCAGACTATTCACACTGTAAGCAAGCTGCCACCTAAAAATTGGAATTTGCATAGATGCAATGCTGGGTATTTCAAATGTACGCACTGTTTGTACTGGTGATGTAACCAAAGTGCTTTCAGGCAAGTGTGCATTTGGAAATCAGACCGGGTGAGATTTGCCTGTGTTACGGATTCACTGTCTATTATTCTTTCAGGAAGTAAGGTGACATTTTGAGTGAAGTATAAGTGCTGGTAAACAAAGGTTTTGGGTTTCAACTGGGTCCAACAACAACCATGACAACATGCAATTAAACAACTTGCATCTTTCATGTACAATAACATCTGAAAGCTTTTGTCCAGGAAAATATCCACCCCACCAACACTCTTCAACATTCTTCAGCCTGAGCTCCGTGTGTCAGTTTGTAACGCTCCTAATTCTGAGTCAGAAGGCTCTGGGTTCAAGCTCCATCTTGGAATTTGAATACCCATAGTCTAAGATAACACTCCAATGCAGTGCTAAGAAGTGTGTTGCATTAGCAGAGGTGTCATCTTTCAAATGAAACGTTAAGGTTCCTGTCTGCCTGTTCAGGTGGACATTTAAGATCCTATGGCACAACTTGAAAATAGAAGGTAGTTTCTCCCGGTGTCTTGGCTAATAATCCCCCAAATAAAAATGGTCATTCAATTTGTGTCTGTTTGTGGGACATTGCTGTACGCAAACTGTCTGCCCTGTTGATCTAGTAATATGCAGTCACATTACTTTACGATATATGACATTAATGGCATAATAAGGCACTATATCAAATGCAAAGATTATGATCTCAAAGCACAAAGCACAGGATTTAACAGCAACTTGCAACATCCCAGAGTTTTACGAATTCACTGTAAAAGATAGTGAAGATGGATCAAAATGTTTTAGTGTTCTTTCATACTAGACCTGCATGAACAGACTAACTCACTAGACTTACTGCAATCTTCCCTCAAATATAATTGAATGTGTGGATCTCATTTCAGCTGTCGGCCTTACCACCTGCCCTGAACCGTTGATTCCCAGCAATGGTATAAAGATTGGAGACAAGTACTTGGTTAATGATGTGGTGTCCTTTGGCTGTGAACCTGGTTATACACTGCAGGTAAGTTCACGTTATTATTGTGTGATGAGAATCATCTTCTCTTACTTCACTGAGCCTTGTTAGCACCACACACCTCAGAGATACATCAGGGGACAAGGCTTGATATCTCATTAGCCCTCGTTTCCAATGGAGTGTCTGCACAGGATCAAACTAGGTATGTGAATTCAACAAGGAAGGTATTGTGCTGTGGAACAGATGTGTGCTTTTGCTGAACTTTATCTTCTAATGTTTCACACGAAGAATTATATTGAGGTACTTAGTTGTGAGGGTTGGAATACAGCCTGAAGCTCTCCATAGACATATATAACATGGCATGAGTGGTTCAAGTCAGGATACTTGAAAACTAAAGGCTTTAATTGTTAAGGGGAAAAGGTGGGGAAATGGATTAGAATACAATTTCCATTTATATAGCGCCTTTCACATCAGGAGGACATCTCAAAGTACTTTACACTGCTGGCTGGGCATAGGATCTGCCGTGACCAAATAATCAGGTGTAACCGGTTTAATGCGCTGAATGGCCTCCTCCTGTTCCTAAGGTTCAGAGCTCATCACAACCCCTTTATGTAAGTTCTGTTCAGCTCACAAGCAAGCGAGTACAGAATTTCTGTGTTTAATTTGACCCTCAACTCTTCAAACCTTTCACCCGAGGCTTACCTCTACCCTCCAACACTACCCATCTCCGCCACTACCTCACAGCATCGCAGTTGGAACCCTCACCCATGCGTTTCATGCGGATCATCCGGAGCTCCACATTCTCTCCTGCGCTACACTACTCGAGCCCAAAACCCCATCCTCACCGGTTCCACTGGTTCCCTGTCCTACAACGGATCGACTGAGATCCTCCTGTCTTTACTTTTGAATCCTTCCAGGGCCTTACATTACCCTACTTGTGTGATGCTACTCTCATGCTCACCCTCTCTGGATCACCAACTGTTCTCTATATACTGTTACCCATTCTGCCCCTCTATCAGGAAAGTCAGTCACTTTGCCCCCAATCTCCTGAAGCCTCTTCTAAAATCATTCTGCCTCAACCCTTCTCTGTTTTCAAACCTCATTTAAAAAACTATTTATTGGCCCCCTCTCTCCCACTCAATAAAACACGCAAACACATTTCCACTCAGGCACAGTGTGTGGCAATGGTTCCAGTTGTGTGCTGCTCAGAGGCACAAACCATTGATCCCAACCTCCTGCTATACATCACACACATTTGGCAGAAGAACTTGTAGTATGTGATGCTTTCCTAACTATATTCCATTTCTTGATCAAATACAAAGCCTTGCTCCCACTCTGCAGGAAGCTGGACAACTAATTTTAAACTAAAAATGAGAGGAGTTGAATCTAAAGGTTAACAGCCAGGATTGGTGCACAACACAGCTGCCTCGTATTTATCTTCTTATGGTCTCGTTTGAATTTGTTACTCATGTAATTGCTCGTTGGTTCAGTTTTAAAAAGAGGGTTAAAAAATACATACATCTATTTATGGACCCTGAACAGTCATGTCCTTCATTTTTTTTGTGACAAAAAGGAACATTGTGTTTCCATCTCCAGTTTTGTAGCATAATATACATTTCATTAGAGACACTGAACAGAGTTGAGTCCTGACAGTCGATGCTCTCATGGTGAAAGTGAATTTTTTTCTCCATTTATTTTATTTCCATCAATAAATCAATTTTGAACATTTAATTCAAAATACAGAAGCTTAAAAACACGTTGTGGAACGAATCACTAATTTTATAGCTGTTTGTGGGACATTGCTGCGTGCAGTTGGTTGCTGCAGTCATCTGCAAAATAAATAGTCATGGCACTTTACAGTGAATCCAGTGAAGGCTTTGAGCTGTCCTCCCAAAATCAAACGCGCTAGATTAAATGCAAGGATTTGACAAGGAAAGGGTAGGAAATACATGCATTAAATTATGTTATACATTATATTATATATTGGGAATATATTATATTGCTCCAGTGAAGAAGTTGGCATAAGTGCAATGGGACAAATGGCTTCCGTATTTGTTAATATTCTCTGATTGTGCCTCATACCCAATAATACAATTCTTACACAGACCTTTTTGCATTATCAACAAATTCTCGATTCAAAATATATTACATCTTTTTCACTGTCAACTCCTCAAAAATATTTTGCTGGAGAATTATTTATACATTGGTATCTTGGAGTACTATCGCGGTTTGAACATAATAACTAATCCTTGCATTTGATATAGTATTTATACTGTCCACAATAGAGAAACAGGAGATGTTTTAAATATTTCAATCATCTCCTGAAGAACGAGCAGGCAAAAACCCAGCGGTGAAAATAACACTGCTCAGTATTCCTCCGATTTTGAATTTCATGCACAGATGGCCATCAAGCGCCTACGAATGTGTAGCTGGAGGAGGTGAGATATTTGTTGTGAGGTGTGTGAGATGCCCTTTGCCCCTTTCGGTGGTTGCAGGTGTACTGTTGGAGGCACTAATATTGAACTGATTTCCAGACTTAAACGATTTCTTTATATTTTAGCCACAGTCGCAAGCAAAATCGTCTCAGGCAAGCAATAGTCCTCTGAACAGCACAGCCAGAATCGTGAACACATCCTGTGTTGAATCACAGGCATAAACTTACATCTTCTGCTATGTGCAAATGGTGTTTGCCTACCAATGCACTGTATGTCCGCCTACAGTCACTATATTTGACAGCATTTGACAGCACTAACCTTTGAAGCACTTTTATCAAATGAAAGGATTACTTATTATGTAAAAAGGGTACATCACACCACTGACTTTTGAATAGTGTGCTAGCAGAACTGTGGGACTTCAAAAAGAAAGTGCCCACAAACTGTATTTAACAGACACGGGAGTCAACCTGGCTCATTGATTAAAACTCTTGCCTTCACTTCAATTAAGTGATGAGGGTTGACAGAGTGCTATTTTGATGGTGATGCCATCCTTCAGATGAGACATTAAATCGAGGTCCTATTTCCCTGTAGGTGAATGTTTAAGACTCTATGGTACTATTGGAAGATAGAAAGGAGTTTCCCTCTGATATCCTGGCCAACAATGCTCCAGATTTAAAAAGTTTATTTAATGGTTGATTGTAGGTCATTGCTGTGTGCATCAGCCAAGGAATTCACAGTCACTATTCTTTACAGAATACTTCGCGAAACACTTTGAAACATTTTGACGTGAAAAGGGGCTGTAATAAATGCAAGGATTATTATTATTATAATTGTATAAAAAAGCTTTCTCCAGGGAGTCAGAAAGAGGAGCAACAATAACAACAAGAACTATTATTTACATTTATGTATTGCCTTCAAGTCAAGAGGACATCTCAAAGCACTTCACACCGTACATTATAATAATAAACCTTGCATTTGATATAGCTCCTTATCATGTCTTTGGGACGTTTCAAAGCGCTTCACAGAATATACTGTAAATTTTGTGGCCGAATGTGGCAGCCAGTTGAGCAGAGGATTGAGGGTTCAGCTGTAATGAGATCTCTAGCTTGAACTGAGAGCTTCTGCTCGTGATCAACTGGGACTATTATAACCATTGAAATCAAATGTTGTATATGTGAGTTCCAAGTAACAGAAATCAAATTGATGTAGCTCTCCCTTTCAACCCCTTGTACATGTGATGAACACTTTTTTTCACTGTTACGTTGAACAGACAGATCGGTGACCACAAGGTTCGACTCATGGCGATAAGTCAGCCACAGTATTTATTTTTAACTACAACAACATGCACTTATATACACTCCTCATACAGGGTTGCTTCCCAGAGCACTTGACGATGGTGAAGCACAACGCCTAGTCGGGAGGGGAGAGACAACCGTAAGCACGGTCGAAGAGGGGCAACTTGAAGATTGGGTAGGATGGAGCAAGGCAGAGGGATTGAGGGAGAATTTTCCAGAGTTTCGGGCCATAGTGGCTGAAAGCACGGCCACTGATGGTGGAACGGAGGGCACGAGGGACAAGGAGGAAGCTGAAGCCAATTGAGCAGAGGTAGTGGGTTGGAGAGTAAGCAGGTTGAAGAGCTAGGGAGGTGCCAGGGCATGAAGACGGTGTGAGGATCTTTAATCTTTTATCCCTTTGTGTTACAGTTTTGAGAATCAACATACTAATTGTTGCAGTTTACCAGAGGACAAGGCCTGCACTTTGTCCAGCTTTCTGCAAACAAACTAAGTCCAGTCTGATTTTGTGTTTAATATACAGGGCCAGGCCCACATATCATGTATGCCCGGAACTGTACGGCGCTGGAACTACCCACCTCCACTTTGCATTGGTAAGTAGGAAAAAAAAATTCCAGCTGATGAAACCCTTACTTTCCGTTCAATTTATTACAAACCTCATATCGACTGTGGGAAAATTATTCAAAAAAGGGAGAGAGATAGCAGAGATGATTATTAATGAGAGACAAACTTTAGGAGCGCGAGGTTATGAATAATACATTTATTGGATTTCATTTAAAGAATTTACAGATAAGTCAATAGAGTGAGGCATGCATTGTTATTTACCTGGAAAGGTGATGTTACACACATGATATACGACTGAGCAAAGATCAGGCCCATGGGAAAGGGGGCAATGAATTAAACTGAATTAGTGAATGATTAGTTGGTTGAAATGAGCAATGGCGCTGAGGCATCCAATTGAGATCGAGTCACAGACTTTGCGCCACAACTTAACAACAAACAAGAACTTGCATTAATGTAGCACCCTTCACATAGGATAGTGTCTTAGAGTGTTGAACAATGGTGGGGCTCGATGCTGAACAAGCAGGGGGAGGTGGAGTTGACCATAGGCATGGCCGAAGAGATAGGTGTTAAGGTGGGACTTAAAGATGGATAAAGTGGGGGTGAGGCAGGAGGCCAGAGAGGACTGTACAGAGAGGAGACTGCACAGAACACAGATTGTACAGAGAGTGGGTTGTACAGAGAAGTGGAGACACAGAGGGGAGGCTGCACAGAAGGAGAGGTTGCACAGAGGGGAGTGACCTTGACAAGAACATTTTCAGTGAGTCACATTCTTGTCAATGTGAGAGTTGTTAGTCCTGGAAAATGAAACAGCTTTGCAGGTTAGGCATCCAACATCGAGGTCGAGACCTCCCAGGTGAGGTAGAGTACAATTTGATGCAGAATAAATCTCACTGTGCCGTGCCCTAACAATGTGCTTTAGCTCCAGCATCGAAAGATCAACCGTCACAGGAAGACAGGGATGAGCAGAGTTAAACACAATTTTGAAATGTATTACCTTTCCGGGATCCTTGCTTAATGTCTAAATTATTTGGTGATCTGGGTCTGGCATCTGGACCTGAGAAGGGAAAAGGGAATTATACAAGCATGTGCAAAGGAAAGTTTTTAGAGGACTTTGGGAAAGAGCAGGGAATTGGAATTAGGATAGATTGTTTCACAGAGAAGCAAACACAGAAGTAACACAATGGGTCTGGTCTAATAATCTCCCACTTTGTAGATCTAGAGGTGCTGACCTGCACTGACCTGTTCACACATATGCACAAAAGCCGTCTTCTACCTGTGAGATCCCACACTCAAGTTGACTGATACAATGAGCAGCAAATAGCAGAATTTACAAACTTCTCTGTTTAAAACACCTGTGGGTGGATGGGTACTTTTACATTGAAACCACTCACTGTAACGTAATGGATGTTCTAAATCAAAATGAATGGATCTTTTTTACTTCAGAACAATATTCTTGTGTAGAGTAATTAATGCCTCTCACTTCCTTTATCGTTTGAACTTTCTGAATGATGTCTCTACATTGAATACAGTTGTAAACTTTTGCGCGGGACATTAGACATAGCCACTTAGCTAACTTATCAGTTCCACAGACTAAAGACTTCTGTATTTATTAAACAGCCAGGTGTGGAGGAGTACTGACTGATCTGAACAGTGTCGTCCTGAGCCCTGGATTTCCAGGCAATTATCCAAGCAACCTGGATTGTTCTTGGCAGATTTTATTACCCATTGGATACGGTAAGCTAAAAGGAAACATGACGGGTTATCCAAGAGTGATATTGTTTGAATGTTTGAATCCTTTTTTTTTCTTTACTTTGTTTGCTTCTCTCTCTCTATCTGTCCCTCTCGCTTTCTCTCCCCCTTCTCTACCTCCCTTTCTCCCTGCTGATGTCTGGCACCGTTTCTATAAAGCGCTTCAAAATGTGAGCCTCGTGAAAGATGCTGTATAATTGCAAATTGTCATGGTTAGCTGGTTGCTCTCCGATTTGTGTGATGGAAGAAGGAGAGAACTGTATATTGTGGCAATGTCCTGTAGGTGAACAATATCATCTTCATCGCTTTGAAAATATTTCTTACTTTTCAGCTTGATTATATAATATTCTTCTTCATCAAACACTGCTCTCTGTGTAAAAACTAGCATGCTCAGAAATGTCAATTGGTGATGGTTGACCAGCCTGTGTAACGCCTGAATAAAATATCCTCATCTCTGCAGCTAAAGCCTTAACCAACAGGACTGACCTATTTGGACAAGGGCAGGGAAACTGGTAAACTGCATAACAAATAAATCCTTGGATTTGATAGAGTACTTTCTCATCAGGAGAATGTCTATTGCAAAGCATTTCACAGGGTTTACTCTACAGTGTGGTGACTGTTTCTGTGGGCGACCACTATTTTGCACACATCAATGTCCCACAAACAGCCATGATTGACTCCTGGTAACGTATTGTTGACAACTGGTGGTAACACCAGTCCCTGTTAGGAGCTGTGTACTAAATTGAAAACAACAACAACAAAATGCAAATATTCATGCTTTTGTTTGCTAGGATAGATCCCACTGGGAATTACAAGCATTCTTTTGATATGCCTATTTTTGTGCCAGTTTATGGTAAATTTGGCCCATATTCCAAATGGAAGTCAGATTCTATACCTTCAACTTATAAGTATTGTGACTTTACATCTCTTCTCGGGAGGCATTTGCTCATAATTCTGCCAAGCTGGTAATAGATCAGGAAGCCAGGTCACAAGGCAAAGATGTTTGCTGTTCAGTTTGCTAGTTTCAGATGATAATGATCTTACCACAAGTCACATACGCAATACTTAACATTAATACTGAACTATAGTTAGAAATGTTCTAGCCTCTCGTAAAACAAACAATTGAGCCAAAAACTAAGAAGAGCTAAAATACCTTGAATCATAAATCCGCAAGTTTGTTTTACTCCCATCTCCTCTGCTGCAGTCTCTTTTTGGGAAATATTTTTCAGTGAATATTTTCACTCGCATTTCTACATTTTTCATGTTTTGCCCTTTAAGATGTCATATTCAGTCCAATATTTTTTCTTATTCTCATATCCCATGTATTAAAGGTTACTACTACTAAATAAAAAATGTGTGTGCTAAAGATATAATTGATTTGATCAAGAAATATTTACAGTACAAAATGGTCAATTAAACCTGATTCTGATATCCGGGGCATTGAGATATTCACATAAGTGAAATACACAGTGGTATAAATGCTTCCTATAAAATATTCAAAGACCGATAAAACCTCTAAATGATGCTTGCATGACTTAAATGTAAAAATTGACTTGCATTGTGTACAGAGCAGCATTCAACATCAATTATGCAATGCAATACCAATGTTAAGAAGGAACAGAACCTTTTTATAAGAGAGTGTAATTGCTTTTGCGTGGAAGACACTAGCCCTGCAACATTGCCTGGCATTAGATGTTTAAGTTATGTGTATTGCAGCGTTCCTCTCCATTTACTATGCCCGAGAACTCCTCAGGAAGCTTAAAAATCCTACAGATGATCTTATTTTAAATTTAAGTTAGGTCACAGCCTCCTCCAACAAGCGCAGTCTGTCCACCGAGCAAGTTGGTGCATCCCGCGGATCATTATTCATCCCTCATTGGTTACAACGGGCAGGTTAAGTGCACTTGTTCTCCTCATTGAAGATTACCAGTGTTCGTTTGCTTGAGCTCTCATTGACATCAATCACCACCCAACTGCGACAGTTCTGGGAGGGAGGCAAGGGCGGAGGTGGCGAGATCATTGTGCTGCAGAAGGAAAAGATCTAACTGGCGACAAGCAGATCATTTATCTTAGTCATCCAGTTGTCTTATATACACTAAATTCAATGCCTACCCATTGTGTATTTCTGAACAGAGCGTAGATGTCCTTATTGAATCAAAGAATTATTCAGCAACTATTTCTACATTTTTTTTGTAAAATCGTCATGCGTAATGTGTTAACGCTAACACATAGAGGAACCAATTAGTGTATTAAATTATTGACTGGTCTGTAGGTGCGTTGAAATTAGTTTAGTTGGACATTTCAATGGCTTCTGTACATAACCTTTCTGAATGACGTGAGGGGAAGTAGGAGAGAGAGAACCGTACTATTAGAACTAAAGAGTGATTCCCATGACAGCTCCTCAGAATTATAATAATAATAATTTTCATGTTTGATCCAGTGTCTTTTAAATTGTTTAATTAATTGCCTTCAAGTGTAGTGGCTATTTATAAGCAAATGCACCAGTCATTTTTCTCACATCAAGGCCCCCACAGTTAGCCTCAAAGTGAATGTTTTAATTTGTCTGTTGGATTGTTGACCAGGGCACTGGAAGAAATTTCCTTCTCTTCAATAAATAGTATTACGGGATATTTAACATCTTCTTTTTCACTTCATGGCTATTTGTGGGACACTTGACTTCTCTTTGACCGTGCCTTCAGCTCCCCTCTCGACTCTCTTCCCCCTCCTCGCTCCCTCCCTTCCCTCCCCCTGACCATTTCCCCCTCCTTGCTCCCTCCCTTCCCTCCCCTCACCCTGACCATTTCCCCCCTCCTTGCTCCCTCCCTTCCCTCCCCTCACCCTGACCATTTCCCCCCTCCTCGCTCCCTCCCTTCCCTCCCCTCACCCTGACCATTTCCCCCCTGCTCGGGTCATGACCCAACTGTGCAGCGCCTTGGGACGTCCTCCTGACGTGAAAGGCGCTTTATAAATGGAATCTTGTTGTTGTTGTTGTTGTTGACACTGCTGTATCCAAATTGGCTGCCAGGTTTGCCTACAAAATACGCAATCCCTTTGCAGTAAGTGGTTTGAGAAGTTTTCCCTAAGTAAAAGACACGAGATAAAATGCATGGATTATTAATATTAAATAATAATCCTCTGATTTGATAGGTTGCCAAATATTACTTTATATACACAAGGCAGGAGTTTAGTTTATCATTTGTTTGAACAATGGCACCTCTGACAATGCAATGCTCCTTCATTACTTCAATGGAGCATCAGCCTAGGCTGTGAGCTCAGTGTCCCGATGTGGAATCTGAACTCACAGATTCTGATCCAGAGGTACAAGTGCTACAAACTGAGACAGGCTGAGACTTACGAGATGTGCCTGTGGCAAAGTAAGCTATTTCTCCACTCTCTGACCTGCAGTTAATGCAATGGATGTAGAGAGATGTATCTGAATGAAGGAATAATGGAAAATAACATGAAGTAAATGAACATAGACTATCCATCACTGCAAACAACATATTGTTTCCATTGAATGAAAGGTATTCTTTCTGAAAGTCACACAGACTGAAAGAAAGGAAGGCTCATGATGTCAGTTAATATAAATTAACTTCTAACTGAACCTTTCTTTTTCGACGGAGTGAAACGTTAATTGCACTGGACACCTGCATAGCATGTTAGCAGGATCCACTGATTAATTTACTGCATAAGATGTCCCGAGGGTGCATTTAAAATGATAGTAGACATTCTGAGATAATGTGATATGCTGATTTGATTGTGAATTATGAGCAGTTTCTTTCACTATATCACAGTCGACAGGAAGATGGCACATCCACTGTTAAAAAGCCTGTCTTGTAATACAATAACAACTTGTATTTATATAGCGCCCTTCATATAGGATAATGTTTTGGAGCACTGTAGTGTATGAGTAAGTTATCTGTTGGAATGTTGGCCAGGGCATTGGGAGAAATTTCCTTCTCTTCAATACATAATGTCGTGGGATATTTAATATGTTTGTTTTCACTTCATGGCTGTTTGTGGGACATTGCTGTGCCCTAATTAACTGCTGTGTTTGCCTACAAAACACATTCACTATGCACAGTCACTACACTTTGCCATAAATTCTGTGAAGTGCTTTGATATTACTTCCCAAATGTGATATCAATGTGAAGATTGTTGTTAATAATGTTAAATGATAATCCTCACATTTGGTATTTTGGTTAATATTTTTTAAAAAGGAAACTGTTCTGCACATCTGTAACATTTCCCAGTGAGGGTGGCACTGCTGTACATTTCGGGGTTGCTGTTTTGACGTTGGTGACGTCATTCGGATGAGATGTTAAACTCCATTCTGTCTACTGCTCTGGACGTTAAAGAGTCCGTGACACTATTCAAAAAACCCCCCACCAAATTTCTCCCTGTAATCCACTCAACAAATTCTCAAAATTAGTCACTCACTTTGTGTATGTTTGTGTGACATTGCTGTGCACAAATTGGCTGCTATGTTTGGCTACCAGATGCAAAGTCACTACATTTAACAGTAATAACAGTAAATGCTTTGAGAGGTTTCAGTCGGTGTTATATAAAATTATTGTTTTAATCTATAGAATGCCAGGTCCAAAATCGTAGACTGTTCTTGGGTAAGAACATCCGTGCAACCCCCTACCCCTATCCGCATAACAAGACACAATGTTAACTCCCTCCCCCCCATACTTATCCGTTAGAAGTGCTATTAATTTTAATGATAATTTAATATAGCACCTTACCATGTCTTTGCGACATCTCAAAGAGCTTCACAGAACATACTGTAAAGTGGCTGTATATTTTGAGGGCGAAACGTAGCAGCCAATTGCACACAGCAGTGTCCCACAAACAGTCGTGAATTGAGTGACCACATATTTTTGGGGATGGATTATTATCACCGGAAACGCGATTCACCAATCGACTCATGGCAAACCTGGCAACCGGGTTCCTACTTACTGCTAGGTAAACAGAGGCGTTTGGAGTAAGGAAACTTGCCAAACATTTCGCCCTGTCCAGGAATCAAACCCAGGTCCTTTCGCTTGGGAGGCAAGTTCTCTAACCACCAAGCTACAGGACTCTACTATTTTTTTGATTGTTGCGGGCAGTAGCCTGTTACTGCTTTATTTGTCTTGGGCAGCTTTGTATCAATGTGTGTGTGTGTGTATGAGGATGGTGGGGTGGGAGGAGATCGTGCATTTGTATTGTATGCATTTTCTCGGAACAAGTTGAGGCCCACTTCACAATATTCAAGAACTATCTTACTCTGGATTTGAAGGCATTTGCCTTCATTTTGTATGGAGTTTTGAAGAGCGCTGGCCCTGTTACAGAGTATTCTGTTTGCATTGTGACTCTGGCTGGATTTATTTTTGTGCCTGTGAGATATAAGAGCTTTCAGCTATTCTGCCCCCGCTCTCTGAAACTGCATTCTGGAATCCCTCCACCTTGCCTGTCCCCGTCCTCCCTGCCTCCAAAATCTGTTTTAAGACCTATCCTTTTGACTGCAATTTTGGGTCATTTTTCCATGCCCCCAAGACAAATCTGTGAAACGCTTTAAGACATGCCCCTGAGCTAAGAAGCACTATACAAATGTAAATTGTTGTCTGTAGATAGATTAGAAGCTTTAAATTCCACCTGGCCTTAAACCATGAGAACATTTTGTCCTAAAATTTAAGGTCATGCAAAATTGTGGAAAATTCTCAAGACCAGGTTGAATTTGGAAGCAAAAACTGAATTTAAGAACGTTCCACAATTGTGCACCACCTTAAATTTCATGGAGGAATCGATCCCCCAGCCTGAGACTGGATGAGATTTGGGATCAGTATAATACAATGTAATTTATATTTATATAGCCTTCCACTTCGGGAGCACGTCTCAAAGCATCTCCGACCAGAAAAGAAGAGTAAACCACAGCCTGTGAGCTCATTTGTATCACAAGAGTAAAAGTATATTAAACATTGCTGAAATTGCTGTTGATGCACATTTCTCCATGTCTTTAGCTAATATGGATTTTCATTACAATGCTAATATGATACTTCTGCAACTGCATTCACTACTTGCCCAGCTCTAATTATACCATAAAATAAACACATTATATTGAAATCACATCAATATTTTGATACATTGAAGCACTTTATGTTATAATTTGTTGTCACCAACATTCAGATTTAGTGCCCAGTCAGCATTATTCATCTTTTCTTATATACTGATCATCCTTGGATTTGATAGAACACCTTATCACGACAAAACACACCTTCGTAATGTGTTTATCTGTAGAATGTAGTTACTTCGTCTTTCTAGGCAGCCAATTTTGCGCAAATCATTGCTCCAGCAATCATGAAGTGGAATTGCTATCTGTGGAATTGTTGGCTGGAAAACCGAGAGAAGCTCCCTTCTCTTTTCGAATAGTGCCATGAGATCTTTAGCGTCCACCTGAACAGATGGATGGACCTCAGTTTAATGTGGTATTGAAAGGACGCCAATTCTGACAATGCAATGCAGTGCTGCCCCAACATTGCACTGAGCTCAAAATCATGAGGCTTGAACTCTCTACTCTTACTCAGAGGAGAGACTTTATCCCTCAAGAGAGAAAAAATAGCTGGAGGAAGCTGACACTTATTTACATCTATAAGGTAGAGTGTCACATGTTTGAGTAGGCAGTTGCTTGCTCTGTAAGTTGCATTCTCAGTTTTCATTATCGGCTGTTTTGGACTGAAATATTTGACGATGTGATAATTATCGTGAATGATAATTATTGCAACGTACCATCGCATTCTTCGTGGAGTCCTGTAGCTCAGTGGTTAGAGCACTCGCTTTGCAAGCGAGAGACCTGAGTTCAATTCCAGGCAGGTCAGGGCGAAACCTTGGGCAAGTTTCCTTACTCCACACGCCTAATAATAATCCCTTCAAAGCCAAAAACAATAATAAATTGGTCATTTTCAATCTACGACTGTTTGTGGGACATTGCTGTGCGCAATTGGCTGCCGCGTTCGCCCTCAAATATACAGTTAATTCACTTTACAGTATATTCTGTGAAGCGCTTTGGGACGTCCTCCCGACGTGAAAAGCGCTATATCAAATGCAAGGATTATTATTATTATTATTATTAACCCATTCCGCTATTGTGATTTTTCACGGAAAAGGCTTTACTTTGTGTTAAAATAAAGAGTGTGCTTTGTGTTTTGTTGTTCACATGGCTCCAGGTGCTTACATCCAGTTCCTGAACTTTTCCACGGAAGCCAATCACGACTACTTGGAGATTCGGAACGGGCAGCATCACATCAGTTCACTGATTGGCCAGTTCAGTGGGGCCGACCTCCCGCCCACCTTGCTCAGCACCACCCATGACACCATCGTTCACTTCTACAGTGACCACTCGGAGAACAGAAAGGGATTCAAACTGACCTACCAAGGTACAGATCCTTACACTACCCTTCCCTTGCCTTCTTGTTTCTGCACAGTAAGGGCTGTGGATCTGCATCATTACCGTACCCTAGTAAATACAACCAATAGATTAATTGCAGTTTTGTTTTGGTTAGCTGGGTGTCTGACACATGGGGAAACTCATCAGCATGCTTAAGAGTACTGAACCAAACTGGTAGTTCCACATATGCATACAGCGGTATTTATGTAGCACTGTTCATGTAGGATAACATCTTGTAGAGCTTTACCGTGAACAAAGGAGAGGGGGAAAAATGGAGGTAACCATAGGTCTGGTTGAAGAACAGGACTTGAAGTCAAATAAGAAGGGGGCAAGATGGAGGGCTAAAGGCATGGAGTTCCAGACATTGGGGGCATAGAATTTATATGTCTCTGACACGTGGTAATTTACTCGAGTCTGGAATGGAGTGCGCACTCTCTCTTCGGAGGGATGCACCCTGCTTACTCAAATTCAGGAAGCATTTAGGAAAAGTTTGGAGAGAACCGATGTTTGGGGAACCCAGAGTGTGCGTTGGGGTACTGCTTGGCGTTTAAGCAGCTGAAACTTCACAGCTTGCCATTGCAACACTGTATGGCAATCTTCCCATATTTGTCTTTACATAGCTTGCCACTGGAACAATGCAGTGCATTTAATGCTTCCTGCAGCTCTATGGACGTAAAATGTGCAGCGATGTGTAATTCTCATTCCCAAATAATTTTAAGCATGGTGATGGGTTTCTGCATGTGTCAGACATCGACTGACAAAAAAAATTCTATGTTAAATAAAATTAGGAAGCCGTGCAAAGAATAGCTGAATGCAAGGTGCTGCATTACATCTATTCGCTATGTGTAATTTTGCTGCCACATTTGCCTATAAAATATACAGTTGCGATTTGAGATGTGCTCTTGTCAAAAAGTTATTTCATAATGGAGGATGTCCTCTGTTGCTTTCCTCTGAGTCAACTAGTGAAGCAAATCCCAGGACCACTTTCCGAGCTCTTCAGGGCGAATCAATTGTTATCATTCTAAATTGCTCGGTCCACAAGTGGAAGCAAACTGCCTGTCAGTGCTCCCTGCAGTGCCCTCCCCCCCCACTGGCAAACAGACATGCATGGCGAGAGGTGGAAAATTGCTGCACTTCTATTTCTCGTAGAAAGCGTTCACTACCGTCTCTTGAATCTCAAGTGTGTGTTGCCATTGTGGGCATGCTGTCTTCCTGTCTCACTCCCTTGGTGGAGAAACTGGACAATGCTTTTGCCATCTGATATACAAATTAAAACTCCATAGTGGGGGGAATGCCAATCCTTTGGAGAGCAATATTTTGTGGAAGGCTGTGCACTCACTGGGGAGGCGCAAAAGTGCTTGGGAGGAACAGCTGGAGCTGCAAAAGAGTTCAAAACTAAACAAGCAAGACTGGAGATCTAAAGACATGGTTCTTTGCCACAGAATACCAGAAATGTGCATTTGGCTCCCATCAAAACTTATTAGAACTTTTACGATTAACCCATTTAAGAGAGACGGAGATACATTCAGGCAAAAAAAATGGACTGTTACAAGCGGGATTATTTTCTGTTTGCGAGTACCTTTATTGATAGGGGATTTAATCATTAAAAAGTAAATTTACAGGTGCAATTGTGCCGATTGTCAAATGTTCAGTGGAGCAACATAGATCCTGTACTTGTGGAATAATGAAAATGTCACTTGTACAGTACAGGTGCTTATCAATTTGCAGCCTGTTGAGCATTGATCTGGTCAGAATGTGTGTCACTGAGAGAGAGGTTTATCTGTGGTTTGTCACCTCCCTCAGAGAATAGTGAGAAGCTATTTCCTCTGGTAGAAAATCAGTGACTGAAGGACACAGTTATAAGGTAGTCACAAGAACCATGAAAGGAGAGCTTGAGAGAATTTTGTTTCACACAGAGAGTTGTGATGTGGCATACCTGGCAAGTAAAGGAGTGAAGGCAGAATCCATTGCGCGTTTCAAGAGGGAAGTAGACAGATATATGAAAGATAAAGGCTTGAAAGTGAATGGGAGGAGGGTTAGGGCAGGACAGTGGGATTGAGTTGGAATCCTGTAGCTTAGTGGTTAGAGTACTCGCCTCACAAGCAAGAGACCTGGGTTCGATTCCTGGCAGGGTGAAACGTCAGGGAAGTTTCCTTACTCCACAGACCTCTGTTTACCTAGCAGTAATAATGAACCTGGATATTAGTCGATTGGCGGATTGCTTTTCCGGGTAATAATTTATTTTAAAAAATAATAATAAATTGGTAACTCAATCCACGACTGTTTGTGAGACACTGGTGGGCACAATTGGCTGTCGCGTTTCACCCAATACAGTCTATTCACTTTACAGTATATTCTGTGAAGTGCGTTGAGACTCCTCATCAAAGGTGTGATGAGGCGCTGTATCAAATGCGAGGATTATTATTATTATTTAAAGGAAAGCTTACTGTGAGAGCCAGTGCAGACGCGATGTGCCGAATGGTAAACTTTCTATGATTCTACCTTTCTGATAAACATGATGTAAGAGTTTTGGGTGGTTAAGGAATACTTGTTAATGAGGTTATTTTTATATCCAAAACCACATGAACAGGAACAGGTGGGACACAGAGCCTTCACGCTGACAGTGTTGGCTGTCCCCGCCTCACTTTAAAGATTTCTGAAAAGAGAATAAAACATTCACTGTGTGGTACCTGAAAGAGGTGCTACACAGGCTCATTTATTCTCCTTTTGCTGTCAGGGCTGTTGTTGATCTGCAACTGCAATCAGGCACATGGTAATCATCTTCGAGTTTATCTTTGTTGTCTTCAAACTCTGTAGCTGAGTCACTGCATCTTTTCTTGTAAGAGACCAGAGTAATTCTCTGCCCCCTCCAACATTCAGCATAAAGAACAGTCACCTCTGTACGACACAGGAGATTAAAGTCTATCTGAACAGTTTCCCCTTTCACCTCATGAGGTCTGGGTTTAAATCCAGTGCAGCCTTATGGAATGAAAGCCTCTCATGATGATTGTAAGGGCTCTTAATGAGGTGAATTTAGTCAGTCGTAACATGGCTTTATGTGGTTATGAAACCAAAGCACAAAACTAGCATCAATGTAAGGCTAAATTGGTCATCAGAGGTGGAAGGCCGGTGTGAGAAATGAAAGTGTCACATTGATACCTAAGATAATGCTACCCTGGTCAGGGTGAGCAATACCGTTGGGGCAACAGAGAGAAACTTTAGCCTCATTTAACTTCAGCCAATCTCGAGATTCATTCCCTTACTGTACATCTCACACAGGCTGATTCGACCTGCATCTACATAGTGGGTAAAGGCTAGGACATACAGATTGCAAGTTGCAAGTTCAAATTCTTGTCAGTGTCAGTTTCAGCCAGTGCAACAAGTAGCAATGGGTGGGACATTAGAATTGGTGTCAGCCTGGCTCAGTTGGTAGCATTCTTGCCTCTAAATCACAAGGTTGTGAGTTCACAGCCCTACCTCAGTACGTTGAACTCACATCGTCCAGTCTGACACTCCAGTGCAGTGCTGGGGGTGTGTTGCATTGTAGTTGGAGCCATCCTTCAGATGAGACGTTAAGCTGAAGATCCATCTATCTGTGCAGGTGGCTGTTAAAGAGCCCATAGCACTATTCAATCAGAGAAGGGAATTTCCCCCAGTGTCCTGGCCAACAATCCCATAAATAATATTCACTTACTCACTCCACTCATTTCATGCCTGTTTGTGGGTAGGATGTTGTGTGCAAATTAAATTGGCTGCCATGTTTGCCTATAAAATGCACAGTTACTACACTTTACAGTGAATCCTGTGAAGCACTTTGAGATGTTCCAATGACATGAAAGGCACTATATCAAATGAAAGGATTATTAATCCTCAACCAAAAGCTGTAACTTAGTATTCAGCCTGGAGGGATTGGGCCCCGCTGCTCGATCAATTAAAACTTTATTTTTTGGTCAAAAAGAGCACAGATTTCAGTTGTAGATATCGAAGAAAACTAACTTAGGGCTACAAGTGGGTGCCAAAAACTTACAAAAGAAAAGTCTCTGCCCAATATTGAAAATAATGGCAGGCCCTGGGAGCTGAAAAGTCTGAAGCTGTTACCTGCAGGAGTACACTACCACCTGGTGGTGATAGTTTGTGTTGGCAATGAATAAGAAATGCTGCAAATGTACTCCTCTAATTCTGTGTTCGTGCTGGATGTGAAAAGCACTGTGATTGTCTCTGATCCAGTTTCCCTGCTTCAGGCTGTTCCAAGTAATTCTGTGTTAACGGTTCATACATGAGCCGCTCTCCTGGTTAATACTTGGCTATTTTTAGAAAATTTTTGCTTAAACAGAGCAGAATCTAGAGGTCTTAAATAGGGGAACAAAACAAGATTATAAGAAAACAGGAAAAGGAGGAGGCCATTCAGTCTATCGAGCCTGTTCCGCTACATTACTAGATCAACTGACTGGGAGCGGTCTGGGATTCTTCCCCCTCAGCTCCTGTTACCCCCGCAAGCCAAAGCCCGAATGGACAGGGTGGTCCTAGCTGGACAACCGCGTAAAGCTTACCAAATAGTACTTTCAGTAGAAAGCTATGTGGTTTTAGCTGGTTAAAGTCTAGCAGTGCCCTAACGCACACTCTGGGTCCCCAACGCTTGGTTGTTGCCAACCTTCGCCTAATGCTCTGTGGAATTATATAAAAAGCAGGAGAGAGTGTGCATTTCATTGCAATACACGGGAATGTCTAGTTACTGACATACATGGAACTGTCAGTCTGTTTTGGATACTATTAAGCATGGTGATGGGTTTCCACATGTGTTAGACACCACCATAAAAAATGAGAGCACAAGGAAACAGCACATATGGAAAATATAATTGAAAAATAAAATCCTGCAAAGGCCTTGCAGTTTTTTGGATTTCGATGCAGCAGATGAATTTGTAACAAAATATATTTTCTCTCGGCTCCAGTGCACCCACGTAAAAATCAATTACACCCACTCACTGTTTTGGTAAAGTGCTAAGGAAAATGTAACTCTACAAATTTGTGTTTCTATTCTTTGGCTGGCTTTCTCTATGTGATGCTGTTTCTTTTTCGAAATTGAGTCTCAGTTTAATGATTGGCTATTTTTTTTAATTACTAAAGACATTCAGCTTCATTACATCAGAGCTGGGCTTCCCAAGTGTTAAACTTGAGGTTGGGAAGCTGGTATGTCTTTGCTCAAAGCTGCAGTGTTGTGCAGGATGGTGTCTCTGCTCTCAGCATTGGCAATTTTCGCCCACAAAAAGTATATGGTCAATTCACTTTACAGTCTATTCTGTGAAGCGCTTTGAGACGTCGAAAAGACGTGAAAAGCGCTATATCAAATGCAAGGATTATTATGATTATTATTATTATAAACCCTTTCAAACATGTTGGGAACTGGGATGGGAATCCAAAATATACTATATGCAGCTGCATTAAATCCTGAAAGGAAGCAGAACTTGTCTGATGAGATCTGCATTCGACAACTCAGAACGGCAGTCCCGAAGGTCGGAGCGATGTGCTTACAGTTACCATCAGTTTTGAATACTTATGAATCCTTTGTGAATCCATTTAGCCAATATCAGGTTTTTTCACGCCATTATATTTTTTTGGTCAGCCGGGTATCTGACCCATGTGGAACCCATCACCGTGCTTAAGAGTATCCAAACCAAACTAAGAGTTCCACGCAACCTGCCTGTACATATAAAGTTCTGAGATATATCGGAACTAAATGTGGACTCTCTCCCTCGAAGAACGCATCCTGCTTACCTAAGTCCGGAGAGTGTTAGGCCCAGGTTGGCAAGAACCAAGACTTGGGGACCCCAGACTGTGCATTGGGGAACATCTGCAATCAAACCTGCTAAACCCACAGAGTTACCACTGAAACCACTGTAATATTAACCTCTTCCGTTTATATTTTCTTTCAGCCTACGAACTTAAAAACTGTCCTGACCCACACCCGTTTTACAACGGCTTTGTCGTCAACGCCGATTACAGCGTAGGACAATCTGTGTCATTTGAATGTTACCCTGGATACATTCTGATCGGAGAACGCATCCTCACCTGCCATCACGGAATCAACAGGAACTGGAACCACCCCTTCCCGAGATGTGAAGGTATGTTGATGTTGCTTTTCTGTTCCTCTTCCCAGCCATTCCGGCTCTGTGAGTTCTTCCCTCCCGTGATATTTAGCACTTCCTGCCGTGGGTAACTGCACTGAGCTAAGCCGCGCATTAATGTGTTCCCCTCCACACTAAGCTTTGCAACAATTCCTCGTGAAACTTTTGGATGTTGTTTGAGGTTCCATATGTCACATCAAATGAAAAAACTATTATTATCCCTCAAATGTTTCCCTCAAACTGGGAGGTGGGAGATGTATAAGTGCACCACAACTTGGCTTGGCTTTCTACCTCTCCTTTCTCTCCATGGTACAACTTGCCTTATGTTCACCGTCAGTTGCCCCAGATGGCCTGCCTTAAATTAGGAACTTCCTCTGTGAGGAATCATAGGGGAACCTGCTACCTGCAGTACAATATGGCAGTGAATCTATATCCAGCGAGAATAGGCTCCTCTGGATGGATGTTTTTTGTTGTTGAATGCGTGTCTGTAATGAAAATGTGTTTCAGACATGATTGCTAGGAATATGTATTATTTGTTATGCATAACCGTTTTAACTTACGTTGGTATATTGTCAGAAAACAAAACAACAGCCTCAGTGTTCATTCAATCTCGTGCGAGTTGTTCTTCTTCGAGGTTTAATGAGCATTTGAAACATCCACCATATTTCATCTGTCAGGAGTTATTTGCACTGCATTGTGCAGTGGAACCCTGTTATCACACGCTTTGTTATAACACGTGTTTGCTAATAGTGTGTTTTGGAGTGCGGAACCCAACATTTACTTACCCCCAAAAATTCAAAAAAATCCAACTCTTTCTTCGTCAGTGCTTTAAAGCGAAATGATGTCGGCAGTGACCAGATGACCCAGAAGTTGCCCATGTGGCTCTCCAGGCATTAGTTGGCGTTTTGAAGCACTGATGGAGCCGACCCTCCTTCTGTGTACTGCACAGTGAATGAAGAAGTGCTGACAGGCAAAACTACAAGGTTCCAATGGGTCACTACAGTAATTAAGTTTCTTGAACTTCTAAACAGAGATATATTTTCTTGTAAATGCAGTGGGAAGTCACTGCTTATGTACAAGGTGTTGCAATTTTGTAGATTTCCCTCCCTGCCCCCAACTCCCACACTTGAGTCCTGGTTAATCTGGGTTTACTCGCTTGATGTCACACATTACAATGGATTTACACACTGTAACGGCTTAGGTCAGGACAATTTATGAGTTGGAATTATCAATGAGAAACGCAGGTATAAACAACAACAACAACAACAAGATTCCATTTATAGAGCGCCTTTCACGTCAGGAGGACGTCCCAAGGCGCTGCACAGTTGGGTCATGACCCGAGCAGGGGGGAAATGGTCAGGGTGAGGGGAGGGAAGGGAGGGAGAGAGGAGGGGGGAAATGGTCAGGGTGAGGGGAGGGAAGGGAGGGAGCGAGGAGGAGGAAGAGAGTCGAGAGGGGAGCTGAAGGCACGGTCAAAGAGAAAGGTTTTGAGACCGGCCTTGAAGGAGGAAAGGGAGGAAGCGGCGAAGGCACTGGGGGATGGAGTTCCAGAGCCTGGGGGCTGAGAGGCTGAAGGCCCGACCACCGATAGTAGGGCGGTTGGGGCGGGGGACGTGGAGCAGACCGGAGCCAGAGGAACGGAGGGTACGGGCAGGTAGGTAGGGGGATAGTAGGTTGGAGAGGTAGGAGGGAGCAAGGCCGTGAATGGCCTTGTAGGTGAGGATGAGGATCTTGAAATCAATCCTCTGGGGGATGGGGAGCCAGTGGAGGCGAGCGAGGGTGGGAGTGATGTGGTCCCGAAGCCTGGTGCGGGACAGTACACGAGCTGCAGAGTTCTGAATGACCTGCAGCTTGTGGAGGGAGGTGGCGGGAAGGCCGGCGAGGAGAGAGTTCCCATAGTCCAGCCTTGAGGTGACAAAGGCGTGAACCAGGGTTTCAGTGGCGTGAGGGGTGAGGTAGTGCCGTAATCTGGCGATATTCCGGAGGTGATGGAAGGCGGTGCCAGTTGTAGTGCGGATGTGAGGGAGAAAGGACAGCTCAGGGTCGAACAAAACGCCGAGGTTCCTGACTGGCTTTGAGAGGTGGAGAGTGCAGCCTTGGATGCTGATGGTGTCAGCGCCTGAGGTGCGGAGGCGCTGACGTGAGCCAATCAGGAGGGCCTCGGTTTTTCGCACGTTGAGCTGAAGAAAGTTGTCTCTCGTCCAGGACTCGATGTCGGACAGGCAGGCCACCAGTATACTTAGATTTAACCAAAAGGTTTAAAGGCAATGGAGAGACAGGAACCACAGTAAACTGCAGGCACAATAGAGACTTTTATGATACAGATAATGGGGTTGAAAAAGCATTCCTCAGGTAAACAGCAGCGTATTGGAGAGCTACTGCAAGAAAAAGTACTTTGCAAATAAACTGGGTTTTCTGCAAGGAAATCCTTGTCCGTCACTCTGACTCACAAGACTTTGGCTCCGAGGAGATCTTAGATCAGAGCATTTATGTGGCACCCCTCATAGAGGGTAGCATCCCAGAGTGCTAAAAAGACATGTGACAGGTTACTGTCAAGATTCAATATACTGTACATGAATTCTTTGTCAATTTTGCTCACACTTCCTTGTTTTAGACAACCCCAATCTCCCGTCCCTCACCCCTACCTCCACTCACTTACCGCCCCAGCAAGTGGTGTTTCACGCACGAGTTATGACGTTGAGCTTCAGTCAGACACTAAACTATGGGTACATCACCGGGAGAAATGACTCATTTCTCTTGTCTATGCACATTCATTTTCAGAGTAACAGGAAAACATTTGAGGCGCAGAAGCCTAGCTGTTTCCCCCTCCCCACACCACCCTTTTCAAGGACAAGTGTACAAAAGCCAATTGTAATACCCACGCCCACTGCCGCTCTGGCTGAGATCGACTAACTCAGCACAGAGCAGCGATTGATTCTGCGCTTTATAGCCTGATGCCACACCAGGCAATGGATTTACACACTGCACCATCTGGACGTTACAAATTGCCTTTGAAATGGGAAGGTAGTTGGATAACATAGCCAACATTTGATCAATCTTGATTCCGTTATGCATAGCGTTCATGATTAGGAACTATATTGCTATCCTTGCATTTCATCAGAAGAAATGTTGTCTTCATGATAAGTTTTTATCAATGCCCTCAATGCTCCTCCTTTGAATCAATTCCACCACTTGCTCTCTGAATTCATGCCACTGTTCTGGGATGGCTCATTTCATTTCCACGAGAAAGGATAGCTTTAATCGTTGTATTTCAGCGCTGCAAAGCACTTCATAATAACTATGTTACCTCCACATAAAGCTTACAAGCAGTTTTGCAATGATTTCAGTAGATATTGATTAATAAAAGTTATTCAGTATCTGCTGAGGCATGAAGCTCACAAAGAAGCATGTCTATATTTGATTGGAACAACTAAAGATTCTTAATCATGCTTACATTGCTCCTATCATGTTATTATGCATGAGCCAGTGCTCAGATGGTTCAATCTGACAGTGTAGCTCCTGGGACTCCCATGAATTTGTTCTGGAAATCTCGCTGCACATTTGACATTTTTGAGTTTAAATATTTAACTCTGTAAGACAAAGTAGAGTCCTGTAGCATGTTGATTAGGGCACTCGCCTCGCAAGCGAGAGGACCTGGGTTTGATTTCTGGACAGGGGAAAATCTTAGGCAAACCCCTTTGTTTACTTAGCAATAAATAGGAACCCGGTTGTTAGTCGGTTGGTGGATCGCTTTTCCGGGAGTAATAAACCCTTCAAAAAATAAAATAAAATGTGGTCACTCAATCCACGATTATTTGTGGAACACTGCTGTGCGCAATTGGCTGGCACGTTTCGCGCACAAAATATAGTCAATTCACTTTATAGTATATTCTATGAAGCGCTTTGAGACGTCTCAAAGGTGTGATGAGGCGCTATATCAAATGCAAGGATTATTATTATCATAATATTATTCCAGTTCCCTCAAGTAAGTACACTTAATGATGGCGACCTCCTGCCATGCAACCCCCACCCCCCTCGGCTCCTTCGCTGGTGAAAACATGAGGGATATGTGAGCATCTGATTTGATTCTGGTGATTTCGCTGCAGAAGCTTTGATCATTGTGAGCTACAATTATTTCCAGCATCTCAGAGCTACTGATCTCGATAACTATCCAATATGAGATTGTAGATGATTAGTAAGGACAGGCTTATATTCAGTTCAAAAAAAATTCCAGTAGTAAGCAGGATTCTCTAGCATAGGGAAGGTAATATTATAAAGGGAAAAGTAATAATATGGAGAAGCAAACCATAGGAGGGCTCATCTAGTGGCTGAATGTGAGGATAATGTATTACGTTCTTTGAAATGTGCGCAAGTTGAGTGCAAGTTTGTTTAGAACACATGTTTGTTGTGCACAGCACACCCACAACATGACAAGGTTGGTCTGGATCAAGAATGCCCTTCAGCCCATCTGATCCCTTCCCTCCAGAATGCCTACCCTACCTTCCCCTTCATCACAGAATCAAGCTGCTTATTAAGCAAGCCTGGTGTTCTGACCTCTACCCTCTTTCCGATCGTTGATTACCCTTTGTGTAAAGAAACAAACTTCCTGGTATCTGTCCCTTTACAACCACTGGTGAACTTGATATATTTTATGTCACAATCCCAAGCCCTATCAGCGATCCAATCTGCCACTGTTCAACTCTAAACTTATGTCCTCTTGTTTTACTGTCTTGATAAATCCTAAAGTATGCAAACTGGGTTTCACTATATCTGACTTATGGGTGTGGAAAATGGTGACTTCTGCGTCATCTGGTCACTGCTGATATCTCTTCCTGCATATTGCAGACTAAGTGCAGGAAGCATCACCGTTGTCACTTCCTGTGTATTGCATGCAGGAAATGCCGCTGACAAACAAAGCAATGCTAAGGCAAATTCACTTCCTGTACATAGCAGGCATGTGTAGAAACCATGTTTCATCCACAAAATACAGAATCAATTCACTTTACACTATATTCTGTGAAGTGCTTTGAGACGTCTTGAAGACGTGATAAAGAGCTATATGAAATGCAAGGATTATTATTATTATTTATTAGTAACTGCAGGAAGTGACATCAATGATGTTGACCAATTTTTCATAATTCATTGAAAACCCATATTATAAAAGTGTTGCTCGGTACATAAACATCTCTCGATAATTTTGTGTTGTTTTTGTAAATGGTTGAATTGACTTGATTTGCTAGACGGCATTTCTTTCAGAGAAAGCAATTGGAGTAAACTTCTGGCAACGCAGAAATGTGAAACAATCCCAGTAATGGAGTACTGTCTCTTTGAAGTTTTTTTTCTATATTTTCCTTCCTGAACATATTGGTCTAAATCAACGTCTCAAACAGTTTGACAAAATCATGTACTGTCCCATTGTAACTCTTAGCGAAGGCACATAAATCTGAGCTGCGGTAGGCAATGCCCTCATTTTACTCAATTTCTCTGTCCTGATACAGGTAATAGATTATTGACTGATTTTAGGTGGAATGAACCAAGGGAGTGTTGTGTAATTGCTGTATTACATGAGGTCCATGCTCCTCAAATTCAACATGTAATTTCCTGTCTGGAAAATAAAGAAAGCAATTTTCTGAACCCACAGTTTTAATGTATTATCTATTAGGTTCACTCATCTTATAGAAATTGATAGGATTGGAACTGATTTTACTTAAGAAAATCGGAACAGTTTTCACATCTGCCGAGGACTATACGCCTTGTTAGGCGATACAGTCGATCTGCTTCATTTTTACGAGAGCAAAATTAGCTAAAGGTATGGAGCTTTATGTTGTGTCTTCCATTGACTTTAATCAGTGCACCAGGTTAGCAGATTTAATATAGAGGAATGGGAGATGGTGTGATTTAAAGTATGCTTTCTGAATCTGAGCCACCTCAATATCCTATTAACCTTTGTCTGTGAAGGACAAAGATTATCAATTACCAGTCTTCAAGATACTGAAATATAATTCATTTTCATTCTTACACAGAATTTCTATTTCTCCTGAATCTCCTGAACAGTCACATGGGGCCTGGGTTTAATGTCTGAAACTGGTATTTCGAGGTAACCGTGATCCCATCTCCCTGTTCAGGTGAAACTTAAAAGTCTCATGGCACTATTCGTATCCTGGACAACAATCTCCGAGATAAGATTAGTGACTCACTTCGTGGCTGTTTGGGAACATTGCTGTGCAGTTGCCATTTGCCTACAAAATACACAGTTACGACACTTTAGAGTAAATCATGTGAAGGGCTTTGAGGTGTTTTGACAAGGTGATAACGCTCTATATCAAATGCAAGAATTATTATTATGGTGGACACCCGCCTGCTTCACGTCCTCCGTTCTACCCGCCCCACCATCAGCAGTTGGGCTTTCAGACTATTTGTGCTCAATCCCTGCAACTCCATCCCAGAGACACTATAACTTGCCCTTCCCTCACCTCTTTTATAGTCTGCCTCAAGACCTTCCTCTTTGACTATGCTTTCAGTAAACTATCCGCGACCCTCCCCCCACCCCCCACACCCACCCACCCACGTCCATTTCCTGAATCCCCATGCCCTTGGCTCCAACCCCAACTCGTGTGCAAACCCTGGACAGAACTCTTGACTACCCAGCACCTTGCAATGTCCTCCTGATGTGAAACTCACTATATGAATGTGTTACTGTTGTATTTATTTCAGAGCTGAGATGTGCACTCCTATTCCAGTTGAAAACTTTGTTGAGAATGCTAGTAAGATAGCAGAAGATTTTTTTTCAGCTTAATGTGAATTAGGATTTAAGACATTAATGCTATGCTATGGGCGGTAGTTTGGAAAGGCACCATGATATGTACTGAATGTCCTGATGCACAGTGTATCCGAGTGTTTGAATATGCCTATTTGAGTAGAATATAAAAGAGCTGCCAAAACTTAATTTCTCGTAATTTCGGTGTTTTCCTTCTCTCTGATTTTGCTCTTCACCTGAAGCCACTAGCCCAGGCTTCCACAGATATAAGTTATCCTCCGATATCTTACTCTGACAAGTAGCCAATCCTCAGGTGTCCAAATGGGAGTGTCGCTAGGTGTAATGAGCACTGCGACAAAACTTGCCCTCATTGCTAGTTCAACCCAGAGCAGGTATGCCCCCCCCATTCTCCCCACCACATAACGTTCTGTATGGCTGGCATTTCCTTCCAAGCAGCAGCTTTACTCACTGATCTAACCTTTGGAAATCCATCCTCTTCCTCCTTCAACTCCCTCCCTCTCTGCCTATCTTTAAATTTACCTTATAAACATTATCTCCTCGACCGCTCCTATGGTCACCTTCCCATCTCCACATCATCCTTGCTGGGTGTCCAACCCCATGATCGTACAGTGCTCCAAGGCATTATCCTTCATGAAGGGTGTAATATAAATCTGAGTTGTTGGTGTTGATCTATCATTAGTGCTGCAAACCTTCTCATTAATAATGCTCACTTGAAGAATTTCATAGCAAGTTTAACATAAATTTTTATTACAATATTTATAATCAGGTATACATATGGAGTCCTCTAGCTTATTGGGTAGAGCACTCGCCTTGCAAGGGAGAGGACCTGGGTTCGATGAAAGGGTGAAACGTTGGGCATGTTTCTTTACTCTTTACTCCACACGCCTCTGATCACCTAATCCTTGCATTTGAATTAATCCTTGCATTTGATATACCGCTTTTCACGTCTTCTAGACGTCTCAAAGCGCTTCACAGAATATGCTGTAAAGTGAATTGACTGTATATTTGTGGGCGAAACGTGGCAGCCAATTGCGCACAGCAGTGTCCCACAAACAGTCATGGATTGAAAATGACCAATTTGTTTGTTGTTTTGGAGGGATTATTATTAGGCGTGTTCCTATCAGCAAGTAGGAACCCGGTTGTTAGTTGATTGGCAGATTGCTTTCCCGGGGGTAATAATCCCTTAAAAAGAAAATTTGGTCACTCAATCTGTGACTGTTCGTGGGACATTGCTGTGCACAATTCACTGCCATGTTTTGCCCACAAAATATACAGTCAATTCACCTTACAGTATATTCTGTGAAGTGCTTTGAGATATCTCGAAGACATAATAAGGCCATACATATATCAAATTGAAGAATTGTTACTATTTTTCATTATTATTATAATAACATTTCAGATAGAATAGTCATTCAGGTTGAATAAGTGGAAGGTAGTATATGCAGTGTCCCATCCCTTCAGAAGTGAGTATATTCCTTTATTTTATTTACAGACTTATGCAGACTGTGATCAGTCCCGTGAAAGAGATGTGTTTAGTGTCGCTTAACATAATAACTTGAAGTCATCTGTACAATACTGTTTACTTACATGTGTTAATCTGCTTGGTTTATTAGCTATTCTACATTTGTTAAGCCTCCTGACAGAAAACCACTGTTTAAATACTGTTCAAATGATGATCAGAACACTTGGAGTTTATGTGGAGTCCTGTAGCTCAGTGGTTAGAGCACTCGCTTTGCAAGTGAGAGACCTGAGTTCAATTCCAGGCAGAGGGCGAAACCTTGGGCAAGTTTCCTTACTCCACACAGAGCCTAATAATAATCCCTCCAAAACCAAAAACAATAATTAAATTGGTCATTTTCAATCTATGACTGTTTGTGGGACATTGCTGTGCGCAATTGGCTGCCGCGTTCGCCCACAAATATACAGTCAACTCACTTTACAGTATATTCTGTGAAGCGCTTTGGGACGTCCTCCCGACGTGAAAAGCGCTATATCAAATGCAAGGATTATTATTATTATTATTATTATAGACTAGACTGACACTCTAATGCGGTTCTGGGGTATCCTGCAGATGGAACGTTAAACCGAGGTCCCATCTGCCTATTCAGGTGGAAGCTAAAGATCCTGTGGTACTATTTGAAAAGAAAAAGGATTTTCTCCCAGTCTGGGCACCACAGTCTCCCAGATTAAATTGATCATTCACCTCATGGCTGCTTGTGGGACATTAATGTGTGCAAATTGGTTGCTGTGTTTATTCACAAAATAGTCAGTCACTACACTTTACAATAAATCCTGTGTAGCTCTTTGAGACACTTCAACCACTTGATAAAGCGCTGTATTAAATATAAGAATTATTACATGATTGATAACCATTTTAGAATGCAGTCATATTCCAGAATTACCGCAGTGCCAATACATGAAGCCAGAAAGCCTAGTTTGTGAACCAGGCTGCCATAACTCAGTGTCCCCTGAGGCCATCACAGGACAATTGTTGTTCCCAGACTTTACATACATCACATGCATATGTCGGACATTGTTCTTTATTGAATTTTGTAGCAATAATCGGTCACTGGCTGTTTTATACGGGTAAAAAATTTCAAATGATGTGACGATATTACAAAGTGAACTAGCATTTTCTCAAGTCTTTCTAACGCTTGTTTTGATGAATGTATTCCATTACCATTAGGCGCCCCCATAATAATGTGCACAGAAGTGTGTGTTTTTTCATTGACTAATCTTTCCGCCTTGTTTATGGCTTTGCTTTTACTCTGTGTCAACTTATTTTTGGAAACTATTGACTAGTTAATCAATAAATCTGCCCATGCCATTGCATCACCAATTTTCTCTTGCAATGTAAGCGCTGGTCCAAGCAAAGTAGTCAAAAACCAAGGGACAAGAGTGAAAGTGTATTGACTGCTCACCTGCAAATATGCACTGTGTCCAGCAGATGTGCAGTAAAGGAATGAGGGTAACTTTGCAATGCACGTAAACAATTTGAAGCATTTCAGGCGCAGTAATGTATAATGTACTTAAATGCAGCTATACACCAGAGACGTTGCAAAGAATTTGATATGTTAAATTTAAAGTAAGGTGAGTTTGTTGACAAACATATGTGTGTTATAGATATCTCAAATGCTAACAATTTCATTTTTATTTATATAAAGCTCCCTGTGCCCTTAACATAACATCACAGAACGGTACCATCTACTCCCCTGGATATCCCAACGAGTACCCGAATTCCAAGGACTGTACCTGGCTGATAACTGTGCCTTCAGGACATGGGGTTTATATCAACTTCACCCTGCTGCAGACTGAACCAGTCAACGACTACATTGCTGTCTGGTATGATCTTTTTACATTTAATTAAAACTCGAGGAATGAAAGCGTACACAAAATATTGGATAAAGTTGACATTATTGACCGTGCTTTTGGTCATCTTTCTCCTCCACATCCCCCTAGGCTCTCACCCCCAACTCAGGTGCCAAGCAACTATGCCTTAGGATGTACGCCTAACATTAAAGGTGTTAATTTGATTTAAATTTGTAATCTAATATTGTTGTATTTCAGAGGTAAAATGTTGTACAAAAACTTATATTCCAACTGTAGGCTAAGAAGTTTTAAACCTGGAAATGTCATTAAGATTCTACAGCATTATATGCCTGGAGGGGGAAAGTTGTGCATCCAAGTGGGCACTAATGTAGTGCACAATTAAAACGGTTGGCTATGTTTTTGTTATATATGTTGAAGCTGCAGCATAATACACTCAGGTGCCCTGAGCTCAGTTGGTAGAACTCTCACCTCTTGAACTCAAGGTCCAGGCTGACACTCCATCCAGTTGCACTCCTCAAGGAGCTCTGCATTGTCAGAACTGCGGTCTTTTGAAATATACACAAATCTGTCTGTCTGTTGTTCAGGTGTGCATTCAGGAAGCTATTGGAAAAGAGATGGGAGTTACCTCCGCTGCGAAAAATTGTTCATTCGCTCCCACATGTCTGCTACGAATGGCTGCCACTTTTGCTCATAACATACAGTAACTGCTCTTTTTCATTAAAAAGTACTTCCAAAGTCAGTGTGCACCTTAGCCTGATTAGTGCCTAGAATTGCACTAAACTTCATTTATTTCCTACCATTTGCCTGTGATTTTAAACTATAGAAACATACAGCACAGAAAATGCTTTTTTTCAGCCCATCGTGTTCGTACTGTTTTTTAAAAGAGCAATCCATTCAGTACCATTTACCTATCTTTTTCACTTACCCCTGCAAATTACTCCTTTTAAGTACCTATCTTGTCCCCTCTTGAAACCTAACATGAATTTTCACTCAATCACCAAAACTGGCAAGTGTTTTCATATCCTAACAACTGTCTGTCAAAAGATTCCTCATAATAATAATAATAATAAACCTTGCATTTGATATAGCGCCTTATCACATCACCGAGATGTCTCAAAAGTGCTTCTCAGGATTTACTGTAAAATGAATTGACTCTATTTTGTGGGCAAAATAATATCCTCCTTTGTTCATTATGTTAAATTGATAGCCTCTAGTTATTCAGCTACCAACCAGTTGAAATAACATTTTCACTTTGCCTTAGGTTTGGATAAACACAGCAGACACAACCCTTGTTTTCTGCCCAAGTTCAATTTCACAAACGGAAATGAGTATAATTGGAAGGAATCTTTCTTGGCCATAACACATTTCAGTTTCATTTCTGGTTATCAGGTGTATATAAGGAGCAAGCATCGAGGTGCAACAAAATGCAGCCTGCGAAAATCTTTATATAAAGATTAATGTTAATTTAAAACGAATTGTGTGTGAAGGCAGAGAGCTAAGTATATTGTTGAATGCAAAAGACTTCTAATCTCTTGGAGAACAACCCAGGGGCAATGGTTGTGAGTGTTTTTCCCACAATGAAATAACATTTGGGATTCCGTGTTCCAGATAAGAACACGTTTACTCAACTGCTCCTCGGATGTCAATTGTGCCTTTAAATTAATTCTGAAGCACAGCTGTGAGATCCTTATTAATGTTGTGAATGACTAAAATTGCCAATCAAGTTCTCTGAATTCACCCTGAATAAAATCTTGCTGGCATTGATTTGCAATTCTCCAAATCAGTCGAGAACTTCCGATGAAATCACAAACTATGACATCGAAAATGTGAGTGATTTATCCGCATCAATAAGCGGCATTGAATCCCAGCATGTGGGGAGAATATTTTGGTGTGATTATTCTTTGTTCTCACCCAGATTTGGGGTATTAGAAAAAATAGATGAAGCTCATTGCATTACCATTGCGACACCACTCGGTTGAGCCTGCGGTTGATGGGAGCCTCTGGCTCTTACATCTGGAGCACAGGACTGAAATGTAGAGCATCTGTACAGGTCTCGGTTCATCTAGCTCAACGTTAAATAAAATAAAATAAATGAATCATAAATAATCCTTCACTTCACTTCGCTATGCCTCCTTTGCCAAACAACAATTCCCTCTTGCATTTGCAGACACAGTTTCACCTCATAGTCCCCATAGAGATAGTCTGTTCTACATATGTGCCATTTTTCTGTGTAAATTAAATCAGAACTGTTTTCTTTCACCTTGGCTCTCTCCTGAGCTTTAGTCTTTGTCCCCTGTAAAAGATTTGTTGACCATAGTAATCATGTTATTGCTGGTCTTCAGTTTATGTCTATCCTTCGGGATCTTGGTTACATCAGAACGATCTTCCTCTTTATGTGTGAACAATCTCAGCTTCTGTAGTTTATCCTTATAACTCAGGTGCCTAATTACAGTCAGGAATCTCCTTGTCATTTTCTTCAATGTCAAGTTAATAATAATAATAATCCTTGCATTTGATATAGCGCTTTTCAGGTCTTCGAGACATCTATTATAGTTGTATAATATAGTGATCAGAAATATACACGATGTTCCAAGTTATTACTGGTCTTCAGTTTATGTCCATCCTTAACATAACATGTAGGAGCAGGAGTAGGCCATTCGGCCCTTCGAGCCTGCCCCGCCATTCAATCATGGCTGCAGGTCATTCAGAACTCTGCAGCTCGTGTACTGTCCCGCACCAGGCTTCGGGACCACATCACACCCACCCTCGCTCGCCTCCACTGGCTCCCCATCCCCCAGAGGATTGATTTCAAGATCCTCATCCTCACCTATAAGGCCATCCACGGCCTTGCTCCCTCCTACCTCTCTGACCTACTATCCCCCTACCTACCTGCCCGTACCCTCCGTTCCTCTGGCTCCGGTCTGCTCCACATCCCCCGCCCCAATCGCCCTACCATCGGTGGTCGGGCCTTCAGCCTCTCAGCCCCCAGACTCTGGAACTCCATCCCCCAGTGCCTTCGCCTTGCTTCCTCCCTCTCCTCCTTCAAGGCCGGTCTCAAAACCTTTCTCTTTGACCGAGCCTTCAGCTCCCCTCTCGACTCTCTTCCCCCTCCTCGCTCCCTCCCTTCCCTCCCCTCACCCTGACCATTTCCCCCCTCCTCGTTCCCTCCCTTCCCTCCCCTCACCCTAACCATTTCCCCCTGCTCGGGTCCTGACCCAACTGTGCAGGGCCTTGGGACGTCCTCCTGACGTGAAAGGCGCTTTATAAATGGAATCTTGTTGTTGTTGTTGATATTCTAATCTATCTCCAGCTAATAACCTGACCCTGCCTTATCCCCATATCCCTTAATCCCTTTTGCAATAAGATATCTACCTATCTCAGTCTTGAATATGTTCAAGGACTGAGCGTCAATAGCCGTTTTGGGTAGTGAGTTCCATACATTCACCACCCTTTGAGTGAAGAAGTTCTTCTTCAACTCAGTGCGAAAGGGCTGGCCTCTGATTTTAAGGTTGTGACCCCTGGTTTTAGTTTCTCCAACCAAGGGAAACAATCTCCCACTATCTACTCTATCATTGCCCTTTGATGATCTTGCAGGTTTCTATAAGATCCCCTCTAATTCTTCTATATTCTATGTTCTTGGTCACATCAGCACCCTTTAGCATAATAAGAAATTGACCACACCCTGTGAGAGATTAACCTGACTACAAATCCATCAGATGGCAGCCTGGATTGAAGTCTTTGAGTTTCTGAATTCGGATTAATAGAAATTATGATGTGTACTTCAATAATCCTGAACCAATCCACTCATAATTCAAGTATGTCTTGGCTGCAGCTGGAAGAGGGCACAATGTCTGGGGGAATGGAATGGGGGCGGAGGAATGGGAAGCAGGAAAAAAACATTGGAAACAAATCTGTCTCATCCAGATGCATTGAATTTTAAGGTTTAGTACTTGGAACTTATTCATTTTAAATGATTGCAAAGTGCATCTTCAATATTCACAAGATCCCAGCAGGCATTTGGATGAGCAAGCACTATCTTATCTCATCATAATGCCCTGTTGAACAAAAGTTAATATGTTTTAAAAAGATTACAGTTTACACCTCTCTGATTTGCATTATTTTGGACGGCAAACATGCAACTTCACATCTGAGACCTTCATTTAGAAATATTGCAACTTACAGCATTCTCCACCCCACCTCCCGACCCCTCACTCTCTCTTCCCTACCCCACCTCGTCCACACCATCAGCCACGGAGGAACCAGGGGGAAGATGAGAAGAGAGAAAGTGGGATATATGTAATTGTTGAAACAGCCTGAATTACGATGAAAACAAGTGTCTTCAGTGAAAGATCAGGTGCCCAAATTGAATTTCTGAATGTTTCTAATTATATAAAGTGGAGCGTTTATCTTTAACATGTGCTTTCCCAGGACCTTGAGACCTCCCTCCATGTTTCTTCCCTTTAATTATTAGTAAGTTTTAAGAAGCAGGTTTGGTATTGCCAAATGAGTAAACACTTTTTGTTCTATCTCCTCTCCTTGCTCTGTGGTGTTGTCCTGCACCATGGGTCTTGATGCATTATCTGAATTTTGCAGTGCGAACAAATGCAAATGACTGGAAGGAAACCAGCACCAAAGCTAGAAAATCTGTTTCCTTTTCTAAACAACTTTGTCACAGAGAGTGTTGCCTGAAGTTCTGCCCCAAGGGTTTAGAGGTTCAAACGTAGTTAATTATCAGCTGCAGAAATATGTGTTGTTAGAACGTACCCTGAGCCATGTGGACAGCTTGACACCCTGGAACACATTTGCAAACCCCTTTTTGTGAGTCGTCTGTTGAGGTTACCACTGGCAGCATTGTTACAGCTTTGTTTTTTGGTCAGCCGGGTGTGTGACACTTGCATAAACCCATCATCATGCTGAAGAGTATTCAAACCAAATTGAGAATTTCATGCATCCCATCGACATGTGGAAATTCTGGAGATAGATTGTTGGAATGGAATGTGCATTCTCTACCAGGAAGGATGTATCCTGCTTACCTAATTCCTGAGAGCATTAGGCGCAGGCTGTCAAGAGTCGAGACTTGGGGACCCCAGAGTGTGTGATCAGCTAATACTGTATGGCTTGCTATTGATAGCACTGTGTGGAAAGTTATCCCATTGCTTGTCCAGCTACGACTACTCTACCTATCAGAGCTTTGGATTGCAGGGTTATCAGGAGCTGAGTGGGATAACTCCTTTCCCCCAGTGATGGTTCTGCTCTTCCAGGACCTGCTGATGAGCCAGGCTGGCTGTGCTGTCATCAGCAATTGTTACAGGGATACCTGGGTGGACCGATGCTCTCATGCTTTAAATTGTAAATGATACCTATGAAATCCCAAATATGTGTTCTAAATATATCTGTGAGACGTTAAGTGTTTGCATTCGAAACTCATTTTAACTTTTTACTCAACCGTTTTATTTCAAGCCTTTTGGGGGTTTGGTAAATTCCTTCAGCTGTGACGTTGGCACGGTATTAATAACGGCACATTAATGCAGTTTAACTTCAGATCATATGGAAATATTTTATAAAGTAAAGCTAAAATATAATGGCTAAAATCCTCCTCACAGCACTGCAGCCTGATCTCGGTAATCCTCCCATAATTAGCCTTGAATGTATTATCATTGGTAAAAATTGATTGCCTATTCCTTAACTAATTTTCAGACACACTTGTCTTCTTTCATTATGCAGGGATGGACCTGATCAGAATGCTCCTCAGTTAGGAGTGTTCAGTGGCAACACTGCATTGGAATCAGCTTACAGTTCCACCAATCAAGTTCTCATCAAGTTTCACAGTGACTTCTCCACAGCCGGATTCTTTGTCCTCAATTTTCACGGTCAGTTTGTTTCAGCAAATGCTTGGTAATGAATTAAAGACATCTGAACGTTCACACATTTGAGCGCTTTGAAAGGTGCAGTTTCAAAGCAATGTTTAAACCAGGAAACTGTATCATTTTAAGGGTGATGTGTTTAAATAGGCTTTTGTAGTCCTCTTGAAATGAGCAATCAATCTGCTCTCTTTTTAAACGTCAATTGACTATTCCCTAAACCCACTTCATTATATTCCCCCTTACGCAGAAATTGAATTATGCTGCAAGCTTTGAATGATATTTGGTGGAAGTTGTATATGTACTATACATGTCAGCCTGACTCAGTTGGTAGCACTCTCATCGTTGAATCAGAAGTGGGTTCAAGCCCCACGTCAGTGCTGTATGCAATTTGGCTGCTGAGTTCACCCACAAATCGCAGTCACTCACTTTACAGCAAATGGTGCTGTGAAACATTTTGACACGTCCTCCTGATATAAAACGTATGAAAAACGCTGTCAAATATAAATATTGTTATATATATTTTTATACAAAATATTGGGCTGGATAATTCAATGTGGATTCCTGTAGCTCAGTGGTTAGAGCACTCGCTCTGCAAGTGAGAGACTTGAGTTCAATTCCAGGCAGTGCGAAACCTTGGGCAAGTTTCCTTACTCCACACGCCTAATAATAAACCCTCCAAAAAAAAACAATAATAAATTGGTCATTTTCAATCCATGACTGTTTGTGGGACATTGCTGTGCACAATTGGCTGCCGCGTTTGCCCACAAATGTACAGTCAATTCACTTTACATTATATTCTGTGAAACGCTTTGGGACGTCTAGAAGACGTGAAAAACACTATATCAAATGCAAGGATTATTATTAGTAGTATTATTATTATTAATGGTCCTGTTTGGAAGCCACTATATACATTTAAAATTGTGAGTGGGGGAGAAGGGAATATAATCATGTGGGGCTTGAAATATAAGTATTTAATCTTATAATAATAATAATAATCCTTGCATTTGACATATCAAATCAAGCGCCTTATCAAATGTTCTTAATGTTACAAAGCTATTCATGGGATATATTGTAAAATGAATTTACTGTTTATTTTGTGGGCGAATTAATAGTGCAGATATAAACAGCTGCAGTCTTTATTGTGAGAGATCTTTTGACTTCATGGGTTTTTTAGCAAATACAAAAGGTTATTTGGTGTTTCGGTGAATGACTGGCTGGTTTTATAAGCTCTGTGTCCTTCCTTAATTAAAATGATTGGAATTCCTTGCCAAATTCGGTGGGTATTGACGAGAAGGCCAGGCGACAAATGGACATGTGTGGCGGCGTGCAAGATGTCGTGATGCTATTCATTGCAGGTTTGCTGACTGAAATAGAGCACCAGCCTTAAACATTGCAAAGGAAACATATGTGCATCAGCTGAAGGCATTGCTAAGGTGCAACAGATGTAATTTTACAGGTGCTTTCTTAAATTCTGTTTGATCCCCAAAACAATGTTTGCGAGTCAAAGTGTTATTGACTTCAACTGGTTCTCTCTGCTGGCACTGCTCTAGATCTGCCATTTACCACTTTCTGACAGTAGAGGCTCACTAATCACCTGCTGTTCAGACCTGCATTTGCTGCTGTCTTGATATCCTCTTGTGAATTTCACAACCTATTCTGGGTTTTGTCCTTTATATGTGTGGAACCTCAAAGCTAAATGAGCATGGCATTTCCCTAGTTCACTCATTAAAGAAATAGCTCTTAGAGCTTCCCTGCTGGTCCTGTCAGTGGATAAAGCCACTGGTGTAACACTGAGCCTTCGCAGACCAATGAGCGATCACAAATCTAAATTACGGCCTGCGGTGAATGGGTTGATATCAGCCAGGATGTTTTTCTTTGGTCAGCCAGGTTTCTGACTCCATTGCACAACACGTTTAAGAATATCCAAACAAAAAAACAAGAGTTACACACATACCACCTACAGATACAAACGTCCATGTTTGGAATGGAATGCAAACTTTCTCCCCGAAGGGAACCAGCTGCTTACCTAATTCCTATTAAATGCAGGTTGGCAAGAGCCAAGGAAAGCCAGGATAGCAAGCAGCTGGAGCATTGACATTGACCATTACCTTCCCTGGGCTAGAAAAAGGGGACAAAATATAACCACAATACCAACTCAATACAAGTTTAGATTTATATAGTGCCCTTCACGTAGGGAGGATGCTCTAAGATCCTTTACAGTCTAGGGGTTACATCTGAGCTGGGGATGGGGACCTAAGGGGGGTGGGGGAGTGGAGGCTGGGTGGGAGGGGTGAGGGGATGGTGAATATCAGATTGTAAAACAGGAGCAGATGGAAGCCACTCATCAGTAATCAGCAATGCCTTGGAGTACTTGCTGACCTATCTGCCAAGATTACCAAGTCAGCCTCGAATACCTCCTCCATCACCAAGAAAATAGGTAGCGTGGACAGAATAAGCCTCGCTAAAATGCTTCCCAGATGAACAGCTTTCCAGCACTGATTGTCCAGATTCATGCATGAAGAAAATATACTTGACCAAGATACTGAAAGGTGTCCACTGTGTGTGGAATCATTTAGTATGACTCAATGCCTTTGTGAAAGAAAATTGGCCAGAGAAATAGAAACGACTGTATTCTCCTCCAGTCATGGAGATAGCTGATCGACAGCTAAGGTCACTGTCTCTGTGCACAACAATGCTTATTTCTACTAAATATGGGATCAAGGAACACGAGGCAACATAACTTTCATATACAATAATAACAACTTGCATTTAAATAATTCCCTTCACACTTGAGAACCATCTCGGAGAGCTTAATAGTGGTGAAGTTGGACGCAGAGTCGGAGGGAGGGAGGAGGTGACCATAAGATGGTCGAAGAGGAAGGTCTTTAGTCATAATCTAAAAGGGAGGAACAACAACAACATTACATTTATATAGCGCCTTTCATATCGGGAGCATGTCCCAAGGCGCTGGACAGACAGAGTTTAAGACCCGAGCTGAGGGTCGGGTAGGGGGGGGAAGCAGGGAGAATCGCAAGCATGGTCGAAGAGGAGGGTCTTGAGGGGGGATCTTGAGGGTGGGTCTTGAAGGTGGGTCTTGAAGGTGGCGAGGGAGTGGAAGAGTTGGAGGGACTGCGGGATAGAGTTCCAGAGGGTGGATGCAGAGTGGGAGAAGGCCCGCCCACCAATAGTGGGGCAAGCAAGGCTGGGGACGTGAAGCAGGCCAGAGTCAGCTGAGCGGAGGGAGCAAACAGGATGGTAGGGGGTTAGGAGGTTGGAAAGATTGGGGGGAGCAAGAACATGGAGGGCTTTGAAGGTGAGGACCAGGATCTTGAGCTGTATCCGCTGTGTGATGGGAAGCCAGTGGAGTTGGGCAAGGATGGGGCGATAGGGTCATGGAGCCTAGTGCGGGAGGGGACGCGGGCTGCAGAGATCTGGATGATCTGCAGCCTGTGGAGGGAGGAGTTGGGGAGGTCGACAAGCAGTGTTTGCACAGTTGAGCCTCGATGTAATGAAGGCGTGTATGAGGGTTTTTGCACAAGATGGTCCAGGGACTAGAGGAGAAGCCATTTGAGGAGATGAAGTGCAGGCAGTGTGAGAGGTATGATCTGAACCAATCAAGGACAGTGCCGTGGAGGATGAGGTGAGAGGAGAGATGGTGGATGAGAATAGAGTGGTCGACGGTGTCAAAAGCAGTGGAGAGGTCTCAAGGAGGACGAGGAGGCAGAGGGAGCCCTGGTCGCAGATGGACAGAATGTCATTTGTCACTTTGACCAGGGCAGTTTCTGTGCTGTGGGCGGCACAGAACCCCGATTGGAGTGGGTTTGAGAAGGGAGTGGTGGGAGAGGAAGGAGCAAAGCTCAGAAGGAACAACTCATTCCAGGACCTTGGAGAGGAAGGGGAGATTGGAGATGGGATGGTAGTTAGAGAGTAGAGAAGGGTCCAGGGAGGGTTTCTTAAGGCTAGGAGTGATGACAGTGTTTTTTAAAGGGGTGGCAACAGTACCAGAGGACAGGGAGAGGTTAACAATGTCAGTGAGTAGAGGGGCAAGGAGGTGGAATTGGGAGGTAAGGAGAGGGGTAGGGATGGGATCCAGGGATCAGGTGGTGGGTTTCATATGGGTTATGGTGGTGATGAGAGAGGAGGGGGAGACGGGTTCAAAAGTGTGGAGGGAGGGTGGGTTGGGGCTGGGGTGGAAGGAGGAGTTGGGGAGGGAGTAGCAGTTGCAGTGACAGAGGCAACTGAGCGGATTCCATTAACTTTGGATTCGAGGAAATCCAACATCACCTCACAGTTCTTTTGCAGGAAAGATGGGAAAAGAGAATTTAAAAGCTTCAGGAATTGCTGAGAGCCTATAGTGAGGAATGAAATACAATTGGGGAATACAACAACAACAACAACAAGATTCCATTTATAAAGCGCCTTTCACGTCAGGAGGACGTCCCACATGCATCTGACTGCAGGCAGGGGATTCTCCCTTTTAGATCATTGAGGAACATAGACATTACATTTCTCAATAAATCAATAATCTCTCTCATTCTTTCTCTTCTTCATCCCTATCCTCCCCCAATTAAATTCAAAGTTAATTTGGAAGTATTGCACATAAGTAACACAAATGGCATCTATATATTTTTCTTCCCTCTAGACTTGAAACTATTACAATAGTATCTCATTTAAACTGAGCTCAAAGAGAATTAGTAAGTGGATCACCAGACTCAAAAAGAATACCAAAAAATGTTGGTAGAAGATTCTTGCTCTAGAAGCAAAGGTAATGTGGTCTGGACTGTATCAGAATGTGAGGGAATATAGACATATCCTTTAAATAGATTATAGGGGAAACACACACATACTACATCCCTCAAACCACGGGATTCAAAGGGAGTTAGGAAGTATTTCACGCAAAGAGAATATTAATGAATACTCGCCCTGCCTCGTATGTAGAGCTCCAAGAAATGCAGGCATGAGACTGCAAGGAATTATGTTGGTGATACAGAAGCATTCTCTTCTGCACTTAACCTTAAGCTTTAAGCCCACTTTTTGTTAAAAATTTAAATTATATTCAGTATAAAGGGCAGAGTTGTGGAAAATTCTTGAATAAAGTCTTAATTCGTTAGCCATTTTCCCGTGATTCTTAAAATGATCCAGCTTCCAAATTAAGCTTCAATTAAAAAAAAATTCACAATTCTATGCATTCTTAAATTTTAAAATGAAATGGTCTGACAGGCTAACACCAGTAGAATTTTCAGGCCTTAAAACTATAAATTCCTTGCTCCCAGAGTAATCTCTGCTCCAAATGGTATGCTTTCAACTCCCTCCTGGACCAGTGTAAAATATAGGTGCATTAGCTCTAATCTACACTATAAGGAAATATGGGCCCATTTTCAGTTGTGCAAGACAGCTTCTGAATACAGATTCCATCTACTTAAAGAGGTAAATTCAATAAAATCGAAAGATGTGTCTAAATTGGTTTCCCTCAGACTATGCATAGCTCTGCTCGGGCTATTAGTCCAGACACACACTCACATACACAGAAATAAATGGCATCTATAAGTCCATGTGGGATCACATGCTTCTCTGGATATTAAAATGTTTAATCTCGACAGGTTTTCAACTGAATACCATCTGATTGATCAAAAATCATAGAAAACTGGTGCTCACTGTAGTGATCGTGCACTGTTCTGTAGAGAATTCATAACTAGGGGAATTGAACCCCTACTGGTCAACACAGAGAATTTCAAAATGTGCTTGACAAAAAAAGTGGCAAAAAAAGTTGGAAAATCAATATGATTTACATGGTTCATCTGAAGACCTACCTCTCAGTTTTTTTCAGTTAACCATTCCCCCTCCTTGCCCTTTCCTCAGCTCCCACCCCAGGTCTTGGTGCTGAGCCCGTATTGTTAAGTGCCTTGGGACGTAACTTCCCTTCTAATGTGATGTGCCTTGAATGCCACAATTGTCAAATAAGTTAACTAAACCTTTTTTTTTCCTCACACACAGCCTATTGGCTCAAGAAGTGTCAGCTTCCACCCATCATTCCTTTTGCTGAAATACTGACTGAGGATGAAGATTACGAAATAGGTAAGAGTAATAATAATAATAATCCTTGCATTTGATATAGCGCTTTTCACGTCAGGAGGCCGTCCCAAAGCGCTTCACAGAACACACTGTAAAGTGAATTGACTGTATATTTGTGGGCGAATGCGGCAGCCAATTGCACACAGCAATGTCCCACAAACAGTCGATTGAAAATGACCAATTTATTATTGTTTTTGTTTTTTTGGAGAGATTATTATTTGGCGTGTGGAGTAAGGAAACTTGCCCAAGGTTTCGCCCTGCCTGGACTTGAACTCAGGTCTCTCGCTTGCAAAGCGAGTGCTCTAACCACTGAGCTACAGGACTCCAATCTCATTGATTCACTGTTTCTCAAATGCAAATAAAATCACAAGCTCAGTTTGGATGAAGAAGGCCCTTTGGTCAATCTGATCTCATCCTTCCAGAACACCCACCCTTTTGTCCTCCCATCACAGCATCAAGCTTTTTTTAAAAAATGAGTCCAATGTTCTGGCCTCAATCATTCCTCTTAGCAACCTGTTCTAGTTGTTAATTACTCCCTAGGTAAAGAAATAGTTCATGGCTTTCGACCTGAATTTGCTCTTTGCTATTCTAAACTGAAGTCCTCAAGTCCTCCTGTTCTATGTCTTGCTACATTATCATATGGATACAAATTGCAGTCAAAATCAGTCCGCAGTTTTTGCTGCACTTTGTGATTGCTAACAACGGATAAACCTGTATCCTGCAATTGCGGGTTCTGTGAGCTCACAACTACAATGGCCACCCCAAGCCAAATACAGACTCAGTCAGTGCAGTGAGTTTAAGAGAGGGACATTTATAACAAGTGATAACTATCATACAGGACAATGTTTTGCTTTGTGCATTAATCAGGAACCAGTTACATTGGCTTGGGAATCTCATAATATATGTCACATTCATTACCATTACTTCATGGCTGTTTGTGGGACATTGCTGTGCATAAATTTGCCGCCGCATTTGCCGACAAAATACACAGTCACTCCATGTTGCACTAAATCCTGTGAAGCACTTTCGCATTCTTCTGGCAAAAAAGTCAGCTGCACCAAATCCAAGGATTATTATTATTCAGTGAGGTTGAAGAAATGAAATAAACTCAAATGTCTATAGGTTGGCAGCAACAGCTTGTGTACAGTATAGAATACTTAAACCTGCATGTGTGTGAGAGAGAACGGGTCTGGTTAATGGTTGTGAATGTTTCTTCCACGTTCCAAGAAAAGTGAGTGAGGCATAAACTGTGGAGTTAGAGGTCAGTTAGCCTAAAATCGGTGTGTGCATGGGGGAAGGGGGAAATATACATGAATGAATTGCAGGGAATGCTAAGTGCAAAATACTGCAGATGCTGGAAATCTGAAAGCAAAAACAGAAGTCGCTGGGAACACTCAGCAGGTCAGGCAGCATCTTTGGAGAAAGGAAAGTGAGTCGACGTTTCGGGTCCACGACCCTTCGTCAGAACTCGAATGCTATCCTTGTTGTTGATGATATGAAAAAGGCTATTTATTGTAAACATAATTGTTGGCCACATCATCTGGCAACATAATAATAGCAAATAATATTTGCCTTTGATATAGCAACAATACAATACAAATTTATATTTAATTAGTGCCTTTCATGGCAGGAAGACATATCAAATTGCTCTAGTTCTGGTAGGAACCGAGGGGGCGAAAAGATAATTTCTTCAGACAAACAATCCCCTGGATTAAAAACAAATAGTTCAGTCATTTTACGGCTGTTTGTAGGGCATTGCTGTGTACAAATTAGCTGCTGTTTTTGCATACAAATGCAGTTACGACACTTTACAGGAAACCTTTGTGGAGTACCTGATCAATTTTGACATGATATTATCAAATGCAAGGTTTAATATTAATACAAGTCTCAATTTATACAAGTCACAAATGTGTAAAGTCATACTTATTTTCAATGTCTATGCAGAAAGACTAGGAATAGATTTGGTGCTTGGTTGGGTAATGCCTTCACCTCAATGCTCAATAGTAAGTTCTTGGTTGCATCTGCAGTTCTAGTCATTGTGAGATAACATGCCTGCTAATGCTCCACAGAAGCCCATGAGGTCCATCCACAGTGTTAGAGAGGACAGCTATAAGGAATGATTAGATAAGCTTGGCTTCTTCAGGTTTGAATATAAATATCTCAGTGGGGACCTTGGAAAGATATTATCACGCAATCCATGACTGTTTATAGAACACTGCTGTGCATAATTGGCTGCTGCTTTTGGCCCACAAAATCCACTTTACAATATATTCTGTGAAGTATTTTGAGATGTGATAAGGTGCTATATCAAATGCAAGGATTATTATTATATTCACAATTCTAAATGGGATATCTTGAAGACAGAACAATACTTTGAAATATGCCAAGGCATCAGGACTAGAGAGTATTGGATTGGTGAAGGGCAATATGAGGATACATGTCAGGATGTATTTATTTACATGCATATTGAAAAACAACTAAAGTGGGTTATAAGGAGGGGTGGCTGAAGCTAGAATGGTGGACTAATTTAAGAAAAAGCACGATGCTATAATAGGTGATGATGGGCAGGTATTCTGGAAGGATGCGATCAAATACTCTTTGGGTGAAGAAGACTAAAGGGTCTTCTTCACTCAAATCTCTCTTTTGATTGTATATTTCCTGAAATACGTATTTGAATATAATTTTAATAAAACAATGGCTGAAATTGTTTTTGTTTTTCAACTGTGTGAACGCAGGGGATATTACCCTTTTACCCTTTACTCCCTGTAGGTGATATTATCAGGTACCAGTGTTTCCCTGGTTTCACACTGGTTGGAAATGACCTGTTGACTTGCAGACTGATGACTCAGCTGCAGTTTGAAGGAGCTCCTCCAAAATGTGAAGGTAAATAAAAGTGTTTTAAATTCATCTTAAAATTTGGACTTTCACGGTTAATTTTTCAACAATCAATTTCAAATATTGCAATTCCTGGGATGTAAATCACACACACTCCAGCAGATACTAATAAAATTGTGCTGTAATTTTACCCTGCAGGTTAATATAAAGAGACTTTATCTGTTTTGATATTTTGATAGCCACATCCAATATTATTTTGCTTGAAACTTAAACTCCAAGCTTCTTAAAGCTCAGAAATTGATGCCTCGAATATTGCACATGTCACTTGAATGCTTCTTCTATTGAGAGATCTGAGTGATGTTGCGGTCAAAGAGTTTTAGTGCTCTGTATTCATGGAAAGAAAGGATATTTGCTCATCTAGACAGCTCTTTGATTAATATGGTATACAATCCTTGACATTATGAAATGATTGAGATCAAGATTATTTTGCTTGAACTTAATCATTACAGTCTAATATCACTTTTTATATTCTCATTGTTGCTCATTCTGACATTCTCCCTGGAAATGCATCTGTTCCAGAGCCCTTCCAACTTCCCCTCTTCCAAGGCACGTCTCAAGACCTACCGCTTTTATCTTTCGGTCACCTTTCCTCTCACCCGCACCCCCCCCCCACCACCGGCCCCCCGCCTGCCTGCCGTCAGCTCCCAGCCCCAACTTGGATGCCCATCCAGCACTTTAAAGCTCTGTGGGACATCCTTCCAACATGAAAGGCACTATATAAATGTGTGTTGTATTGTACTGACAGCAGATAAAAGGTTTGGATTGTATGCTCGTCAGTATCGATAATGTGTGTTTCTCTTGCCTTCGTACTCCTCCAATTCCCCTTTTAGTTAACCTCAAATGCCATTTATATAACATCTTGTGCTCATTACTTCGCAATATTTACATTGGCTAATGGCATTTACATGGTGTGACCCATTACCCTGAAGGCATTGTGCCTCTAAGCTCATTACTGGCCAAACCCAGTTCAGACTAATTCCTATTGATATTTGTGATGGATTTACCGTAACCTGACTGCATGTTTTAGCCTAATGTTATTTACTATTTGTGTAATTATCACTGGCTCCCTAGTAAATCGACAGATTAGACTTTTGTTTGTTTTTGTAATGTTCTGCAATGCTTATATTTGCTCCTAGTTGGAAGTTCCAAAAATTATTGAATTTTGATTTTGAACGTTTGATGAGGGTGCAATAGCGAATTTGCATTCTAGAATAGTTGTGTCATTCCCTATTGGTCGAGTTCCCTGCTCTAGCATTGGAGGTTGAGCTCCAACCATTTTGTCCCATTCTCTAGAACTCTGTTTGCCTATAAAATACACTGTACACACATTACATTAGATTTTTTTAAATGCTTCCTCCTGATGTGAAAGGCAATAAAGACAACAACTTCGATTTATATGATGCCCTTCACACACTATACAGGCACTATGTAGCCCTTTATGTCTGTCTCAAATGCAAGGATTATTATTATTTTATTATAATTCCTCCCCAAATCCCTTTCATCTCACTTCATCTAACCCTGCCGTCAAAACCCTTCTAAAAACCTACCTTTTTGAGCATGCCTTCTCTTTTCTTCCAATTTGGCTTGATGTCCTGCATGGTTCACATTGAGACATTTCTTACTTGAAAGACTAAGTGCAAACAGTTGCTAGGGTGGTGTTGGTGCTTACCAGACACAATGGAAAGTTAAGCATTCATTCCCATGCATTGAGATCCTGCAAAGCAGCAGCTGAAAGGACATTGGTGAAAAAAGTAGCAATCCAACACAGCATCTCTGAGCGTTGTCAGTCAACCTTTGATGCTACCATTTTTCTGAAATCAGTGAGGGGTGAGAGGGGTGCGAGAATTCAAACAGCATTCCAGTGACTTTCCCTAAATAAAGAATGCAATGTGCTCAGAAATAGTAGAATTTCCACGCCGAGTCTTGTGTTATGAAGCTCTGGTCCAAATCCCTGACTGTCCAGCACATTGTTATGTCCTCCTGATGTGAAAGGCACATTGTTGTGCCATTGTTGTGTTGTTGTTATTGATTTAATATTTCATTTGTTTTTGAGACTTTCATGTTGTCCTTGTGTTTCATGGTGCCTGATCTTCAGCACAGTGTCCTGTCAACGAAATTCGCACAGTCTCATCTGGAGTGGTTTTAAGCCCAGGATATCCTGACAATTATCCCAACTTCCAAACCTGCTCCTGGACAGTTAAAGTGGAACCTCGCTACAATATTTCTTTTTATGTGGAAATGTTTCAAAGTGAAAAACAGTTTGATGAGCTGGACATTTTTGATGGTAAGTTTTATATTATATATGTGTATATTTAAGCAGTAGAAACAAATGTAGCTAAACTTTAAATAACTCCTCTCTGGAACAATTTGGTGGACCAGGTTGTGCAACAATTGTCTGCTCAATGATAGCTAGGTTTTTGCATTGGGTTTCAGGAACTGCTCGTCATTCAAATTTCCTACACAGCCCAAGCTGTGATTTTACTGTAATGTATCAGCACAGATCCTGAGACTTGGTCTCAATGCCAGGTTAAGGTGATGGGGGGTTTAGCTGGCCAAACTCCAGCAGTACTCCCAACATACTCTTTGGGATCCCCGGGCCTTGGCTCTTGCCAACCTGTACCTAATACTCTCCAGAATTATGTAAGCAGGGTGCATCCCTCCAGGAAGAGAAGTGAGCATTCCCTTTCCAGACACAGGGGAAATTTCCAGGTGGAGGTGGTACACAGAAACTCTCAGTTTGGCTTTCATGTTCATGGTGACAGGTTTCTGCATGTGGCAGGCACCAGTTAGCTAAAAACAAATCCTGATGCATAGGATGTTAACAGAGGCAGAATCAATTAAGATATTGAGAGGGAGGGGGAGACACACACACAGACTTGGGAAGTAAAGGTGTAAAGGGTTATGAAGCAAAGGCAGGGAATTTGAATTAATAGATCTATCATGATCTAATAAACAGATCGGAGAGACTTGACCGGCTCAATGTTTTTGGCTTGTTCCTAAAACCTAAGTACTAAATTTAGCCTCAGATATATCCCAGCCAAACCCAATCCCATCCTCAGTCAATATATGCGTGCATACACACACTTACCATTAATTCTTTAATCAAATTATAAAATGTAACTTTTATTTGAAAGGACAATGATTACATTTTGTTGGGCCCACACAGATGAAACACACCACACACAAATATACCAGATACACAACCACACACACAACACACACAAAAATACCCAACACGTACATGTATTCATAGAATATTTCAATATTCTCTTTGTACTTCAATATGATTCACAGTCAAGGCTAAGTGACAGATTGTTGCAGTACAACCAGCACTGAAGCAGGTAGATGAGATAATAGAGATTTATGTTGTTTTGGGTTGCAGTAAGAATATGCCCACCTGGGACTAGTAAAAATTATCCTAGCAGTCAAGAGCACTATGTAGCCATATATTTTATTTGTAACTCGAAGATGTAAATTCATGAGTTACAGGCTTCAGAACAACTGAAACAAAAGTGAAGCATGCAGCAATTATTTTAAAATCTATTTGTGTAGATAATACTGCAATTGGTACAGGAGAATCCTGTTGGAGCGCAACAGTTGGAAGGATTCATTAAATCCCAGCTAGACTTAAAATAAACTGGGATGGGCATGATCTGCATGGTGATATCGCTGTCACATGACAGGCAATGCCACTACACTTTCACACAGGAAATAACTTATAATCAGGGCACATTATATCATAAGAATCACCCTTACGTTAGGAACCTGGTTCTCAGACGATTGGCGGATCATTTTTCTGGGGAGTAATAATCCCGTCAAAAAGAATAGTAATAATAATTTGGTCACTAAATTCATGACTGTTTGTGGGACACTATTGTGAGCAATCATACAATTATACAGCATATTATACACAAAATATTCAGTCAATTCACTTTACAGCATATTTGGTGAAGTATGTTGAGACTCCTCGAAGATGTGACAACAATAATTTGATGCTACAAACTGTGCAGTGACATCATGTGATCAGTTGTCATGTTGTCATGCTGATCACAATCTATTTTAAGCCTAGCTGGGGCAAGGCGTTATATCAATATTAATATCTATATTAATACTAATACAAAGATTGGTATTATTATTATGTTTGATACAGAGCCTTTCATGTCGGGAGGACGTCTTAAAGCACTTCACTAGATTTACTGTGAAGTATATTGTACAGTGTCTACGTAGTCTTGTCAAAATGGTATCACCTACCCCTAATCGCATGATGGTGCAGACGATACCATTTTGAGGCGTGGCAATTCGAGAAGAGCGACGGCACATTATTACAAAGTACCACAGCATGGTTTGTAACCTGGAGCACGCTCACAGAGCTTGTCGGCTTTCTGTACGCTTTGGGATTTTTTTTGGAATGTACTGTAATTATCAGTATCCACATCACGATGTGAGATCGAGTTATAGCTCCCGTTCTATAACAGGATTCCTTTGTACAAATTGCAGTACAGAACCCGAAAGTAGATTTTAAAAGAATAATAGCATACAACAAAACAACATAAAAAAAACTTATATAGAACCTACCTAATCAGGAGGACATCCCAAAGCACTAGACAAATATTGATAGGCATTGTGGCTGAGGGTAGGACCTTAGTTGAGTGAGGAGAGCAAAGATAACCGAAAACACAGTCAAAGAGATACATATTGATGCATACCCAGCTCCATGGGACGTCCACCCGACATGAAAGGCACTATACAAATGTAATTTTGTGTTGTATTGCACCTTGAAAGAAGAGAGGGACGGAGGAAATTGGAAGGACCCAGGGAATGGAGTTCCAGTGAGCGGACAGCTAGAGTGAAAGCCTATGTGAGACAGTGGGGCAGATAGGGTGGGCGATGTGGAGTGTCGGCCGAGTGAGGGGGGTGGCCACATTGGTGAGGTTGACGATGGTTGAAGAGGTAGGGTGGGACGAGACCATGGAGGAGTTTCTACTATTTTGTAGTATTATTTTTAACTTGTTTATTACTTGCCTGCCAATTCACTGTGTTTACATTTCTTTTTACTTCCGAAAGGACCCACAGGCCAGAGCCCATTGTTGGTTTCTCTCAGTGGAAACTACACAGGACCAATGAATTTCTCAAGCACGGGCAACCAACTGTATCTGCGCTGGTCGACTGATCATGCCACCAGCAAAAAGGGATTCAAAATCCGATACACAGGTATGGAGCACTAATACCTTCTACAGCTTGCAAGTCTTTAAATTTATTTAGAAAATTGTTAAGTTTGCTAATGTGAAACACGATGAAATTGAAAGCAAAAGGTTGCATCCTGTGGATTATACCAAAAGTATTTCTTCTGCTGGCTTTTGAGCAGTTGGAATGTTTCAGCTGCCGAGACAATGTGGGACGTAGGATCGTAATAAAGGATGGAACAAGAAAATAATAATGATCTCTGCATTTGATATAGCGCTTTATCACATCTTCTAGACATCCCAAAGCTCTTCACAGAACACACTTTACAGTATATTCTGTGAAGCGCTTTGGGATGTCCTCCCGACGTGAAAAGCGCTATATCAAATGCAAGGATTATTATTATTATTATTATTATTATTATTATTATATACTGTAAAGTGAATTGACTGTATATTTTGTGGGCGAAAGGGCTGTTTTGTCATCGCGCTTGCTCCTGCACTTAGTTTCCCCATCAGGATCTTTTCTGCTTCCTTGTCCGTGTCCATCCACTCCCCCTCCCATCCCACTCTCCCTCCCACTCCCTACCCATTGCCCTTCCCACCCAACTTTCCTTCGCTCTCCACCTTGCACTCCCCATCATGTTTACCTCTTCCCATCAGAGACTTTGTCCCTCTCCTCCTACCCCTTCCACTCCCACTGCCACTCTCCCTCTCTGAACTCATTTCCTCTCCCATGCCCACTTTTGCTCAACCAACACATTTTCTATTCTTTTTCCCACTCCATCCCACTTCTCAGATCTTCAATTAGACGCTTTCTTGTACTTACTTAAAACTTCAAAGGAAAACAATCTGATTTCTAGAATATCTGCTATCCGTATTCAGTTCTCTTAGATTGTTTACCATTATTGCAGCACCACTTACCATTGTGTCCATTGAGTCTGAAGATAGGGCTCTCTATTAATATCTTTACAACCGGCAGTGCTTTGAGAAATGGAGGTCTTGGTCCTCGTTCAAAAGCATTTCCATTTCAAATTATATAACGGTGGAGGGTCATCAAAACACAAAAAGAGACAGAAAGAACAGAGTTAACAGTGCATCCAGGTGCAATATTTTAGTTTTAATGCTTATACTTCCTCAAGGGAAATAACTGTCTGCTCGCTGGTTGCTTAAGTTTTCAGCTCCAGCTTTGTGACACTGAATAAAGCAATGCAGATATTAGGCATATCTTTATTACTCCAAAGTGAAGCCAATACAGTTAAACAATAAACTGCCGTGTTTGCCTACACAACAACATTCCCTTTATTTCTAATGCATCCCATACTTCACAACAGTTCCGTTAAGTAAAAGGCAATGTATAAATTCCTCTGATCCAGCTCCTCGCTTTGACTTTTTTTCCCTTTTCTCTCTTTGTGTCTATTTTTTTCTGTCCTATTTGTGATTTGAACCTCACTCTATTCCAACAAATAGAATCAAACAGTTTATTTCCCTCATTTCTCCCTGTTCCTGCTCCCACTTTCCAAATGTGGCTGAAACACAGAAAGAAAGCCTTTCAGGGATTATTTCCAGCTATTGAATGGCTAAAGATCTGAAGACTGATATACATGGTCACACGAAGATGGGAGTCAGTCATTATGTGATGTGTTTTTCGATTGGATAAGTGAGCTCATCACTAGCATCTCAGAGGAAATTACTGAAGCAAAATAACTGCGCTGTTGAAGTGTGCCAGGACATGTGAAAGAAATAAGGCGAAGTAATACAGTAAACATTCTTGCATTTGGTTTAGCACCTATAAAGTTTCAAAGTGCTTCATGTAAAGTGTAGTGGCTGTTTATTTGTAGGTGAATGTGACAGTCAATTGGTACACAGCAATGACCCAAATAGTGTCATGGGATCTTCACCTTCACCTTTACAGGAGTGTCAACCTAAGCTGGAAGCTCAAAGTCCCAGCTTGGGGCTCGAACCAACACTCTCTCACCCAGGAGTGCTAGCAACTAAACCAGACTGACCAACATTTGACATTTCAACCTTTTTATTAAGACGAGTGCTAGCTTTTACTGCAAATCTTGGCAGTAATTTGCCATTCTGCTGCTTGATCAATCTGCCTAGCCTCCTGTGTGGTTGCACAACCTTGACAGAGTGGGGGAATGAAGATAAAGAGTAGTTCCATACATGAAACAAAGTATATTCCCAGCTAACGAATACTAATAACACGGCACCAGAAATTTACTGATGATGAAAAAGCAGTAGGTATTAAATGTGAAACAGCTCTTATTAATTTTCACATTTCTTCACATAGATCTTCAGGTCTGGGAGTATGGTCGCATATTACAGTCATTTAGTCATCTCCAGGGCCAGTTGCTGTTTTTAATTATCTCTCATTTTTTTCTTTCTTATGAACTTTCTCACGGATTCCAATCATATTTCTTCCTTTCTTTCCCTCCGCTACCATTTGTGCCACCGGGGACAGAGATTTGCAGGATTTAGGCCAAATTGACACTGGGCTGAGTAATCAGTGTGCTGGAATGCTATTTAATAATAATAATAATCTTTGCATTTGATATAGCACTTTATCATGTCTTTCGAGGCATCTCAAAAAGCTTCACAGAACATACTGTAAAGTGAATTGACTATATTTTAAGAGAAAAATACTATTTAATGCAACAAAAAGCAGAACATAATAATAATAATCCTTGCATTTGATATAGCGCTTTTCATATCTTCTACACATCTCAAAGCGCTTCACAGAATATATTGTAAAGTGAAGTGACAGTATATTTGTGGACGAAATGCACAATAAAAATAAAAATAATAAAAGCAGAAAAAGAATTATCACACGCTGCTGTTAAGTGGGAATCGGCATTGACCTACGTAATACACAGTCACACCACTTATGTAGTATGTCCTGTGAAGCTCTTTGAATCGTCCTCTTGACGCGAAAGACATTATATCAAATATAAGGATTATTATTATTATAATCCAAGAGGCTGAAAATGTTTTGAAAGCAGGTTTCGAACTAAACCATCGTACCGAACTTGGAGAGAGTGGGGAAAGTAGTCTGTTGGCTGCCAAACTGGTTGATAATTGAAGATAGGTTTCGATTTGGATTTTCTACTGATGGAATAATAACAAACAGTCTTTTTGTCTCAAATTGAGGGTAAAGCTTCCTCCCACTTGGCTGCTATTAGCTCCGCAAGCCAAAGGTCTAATGAGTAGAATGGTCCTAGCTAGAAAAGCGACAGAAAGCCTGTCAGACAGTGCTTTCAATGGCAAGTAAATCAGTTTTAGCTGTTTAAATTCCAGAGCAACCCAATTCTGGTTCCCCAAAGACTTGGTTCTCATAATACTCTCTGGTATTAGGTAAACAGATTGTGTCTCTCTAGGGAGAGAATGTGCATTCCATTTCAGAGAGTTGAAAGTTCCGTGTGTAGGTGGCCGACATACATGGTTTTCTCAGTCCAGTTTGGTTACTCTTAAACCTGGTGATGGATTACCACATAAGTCAGGCATCCAACTGATCAAACCCAAATGACCTGAAAGTCTACTTTTGGGACAGCATAAAAGTGTGAAAGAAACATGCATTGGAAACGTGTGGCGGTTGCACATGCAGAAGACATTAATTTGACTTCCACAACAGAAAACATTATAATATGTAATGAGTTCAGCTCGGTTGTACAGACTCGGCACCCACAGGCCATCACTCATGCAAAAAAGCTGTGAGCATCTCTTTGATTTGTTTTTTATTTTACATTCTGCAGATGCATTGCCCTGATTATTGCATTGCACAGCCACCCAATGGAACATGCAAATATAACTGTATCTTTGTCTTATAAAAAGCAAATTGATATTAACTCAACATAAGAATAAAGTACAGAAGAGACACATTTTTTTTCTATGTTGAGACAGGCTCCTGGTCCTATGAGACTAGACGTTTATTGATTCTCTTCTGTTGCAGAAGGCTGTTACTGTTCCCAGCTAATTTCTCAACAACAGATCAGCTGATGCAAAAACGTATTGGATCATTGGCAATTCCAGCAGATATCCCACCACCATAACTTGAGCTTGATTATATCTGTGTGTGTCTGTGGGGGGGGGGGTGACTTTTCATCCCTCCCACACTCTCATTCACATATGTGGATAGAAATTCATCCAGCTCTATATTTGCATTATTTGTCCTGGATAAGAGCTAACTTTCTCCAGTTGAGGCCTTCCTGATTGGCTCCCATCAGCACCTCCACACCTCAGGCACTGGCAGGATCACCATTCATGAATGCACTCTCCACCTCACCGAGCTAGTCTGGAACCTTGGGGTCTTGTTTGATCTTCAATTATCTTTCCTACCCCACATCCGTGCCATGACCCACTCTGCCTTCCCCCACCTTATCACCCGGCTCCGCCAACGCCTCTCCCCTCAGGCCGCTGAAACCCTAATCCACACATTTATTGCATCTAGGCTTGACTATGCCAACTCCTTGCTTATCAGACTTCTCATCTCTTCCCTCCGCAAGCTGCAAATCATCCAAAACTCTGCAGCTGGTGTCCTCTCCTGCACCAGGCTCCATGACCCCATCACACTCCCCCTAGCCTGGCTCCACTGACTCCCCAACCCCCAGACAATTGAGTTCAAAATCCTGGTCCTCGCCTTCAAAGCCCTGCACGGCCTTGCTCTTTCCTACTTCTGTGACCTGATAATGCCATATTAACCTATCTGCTGCCTCCGCTCAGCGGGCCCCCACCCAGCCCACCCCACCATCAGTGGTTGGGCGTTCAGCCTCACTCCCACCCTTTGAAACTCCATTCCACAGTCCCTTCGCATGCTCCCTCCCTTGCCTCCTTCAAGGCAGATCTCAAGACCCTCCTCTTTGACTGCACCTTCAGCCACCCTTCTACCCTCCCTGCCCTCCTGATGCCAACCCCCTGTTTGGATCCAAATCCCTGACTGTCCTCCCGAACATGAGTCACTATAAAATTGTAATTTGTTGTTGTATTTACTTCATTTTTTCAGAGCATCCAAAATTCAGTTAATTGTTG